TTTTGATTCAGGCCTTCTAAAAGGCTCTTATAATTTAATTGACGGTACACGGAACGTCGGGCTTTTATAATAGATGTACACGGTACTGTAACAACGTTTTGCTTGAAACTGCAGCACGAGATTCAGGGGAGTCGAACTAACATTGCATTGCACGTTCACTGATGTATGGGTTTCAGTCGCCTTATGCTGTGTTTCCACAATCGTTAGCAAAGCAGATCAGAGCCAGTTTAACACGTAGTCTTTGCGACCAATATTCATAATACAGGTTTTTTTTGGGTTATATCGCCTAAATAATGTGTTGTTAAACCCGCCACCACCCGACACAGCCAACTAGTAAGGGTTGTCACGTGAACAGAACGTGGCCAATTCGTCACTAGTACAGGACACCGGTGTGTTGGAGAGCAAAGCCACAACATTTACAATCCGAGTACGACGTTTCACCAGTAATTACAGCCGGCATCATCAGGCGGACAGCCAGATTTGTCGAGAAATACTCTAGTTTAGTTCCTTAAATAGAGATGTGATGACGTCACTTGTGAGCTCCACTTGCACGTGCCGGGCAGATCAGTGCCGTGCCGGGCATTTCTCGATAGGGCCCGAGGCTCATTTCCTGTCCAAACTGGGGCCACTTTAAGGTACCTTTTGCCCTGGCACAGCACCTATTGTACTAAACATCACTGGGCATTCCATTGCCGTTGTTTATACCCACATGAAAGTCAGATATCTTTAGCCTATTGGCAAACTGACGTACGTTAGCATCATTTGTTCAGCGCCGTCTGTGCCTGCATGTATCTTAAACTTCTTTCGCACCGTACGTGGCCAGCCGTGCTAATCGGAGGTGCGGGTGGAAGGACAACAAACTGTGGGTCTCTGTGTGAGTCTATAGGTCGCTGTGTGAGTCTATGGGTCTCTGTGTGAGTCTATGGGTCTCTGTGTGAGTGTCTATGGGTCTCTGTGTGAGTCTATGGGTCTCTGTGTGAGTCCTATGGTTCTCTGTGTGAGTCTATGGGGTCTCTGTGTGAGTCTATGGGTCTCTGTGTGAGTGTCTATGGGTCTCTGTGTGAGTCTATGGGTCTCTGTGTGAGTCTATGGGTCTTCTGTGTGAGTCTATGGTCTCTGTGTGAGTATGGGTTCTCTGTGTGAGTCTACGGGTCTCTGTGTGAGTCTATGGGTCTCTGTGTGAGTATGGGTTCTCTGTGTGAGTCTATGGGTCTCTGTGTGAGTCTATGGGTCTCTGTGTGCGTCTATGGGTCTCTGTGTGAGTCTATGGGTCTCTGTGTGAGTCTATGGGTCCTCTGTGTGAGTCTATGGGTCTGTGTGCGTCTATGGGTCTCTGTGTGAGTCTATGGGTCTCTGTGTGAGTCTATGGGTCTCTGTGCGAGTCTATGGGCCTCTGTGTGAGTCTATGGGTCTCTGTGTGCGTCTATGGGTCTCTGTGTGAGTCTATGGGTCTCTGTGTGCGTCTATGGGTCTCTGTGTGAGTCTATGGGTCTCTGTGTGAGTCTATGGGTCTGTGTGCGTCTATGGGTCTCTGTGTGAGTCTATGGGTCTCTGTGTGAGTCTATGGGTCTCTGTGTGAGTCTATGGGTCTCTGTGTGAGTCTATGGGCCTCTGTGTGAGTCTATGGGCTTCTGTGTGAGTCTGTGGGTCTCTGTGTGAGTCTGTGGGTCTCTGTGTGCGTCTATGGGTCTCTGTGTGAGTCTATGGGTCTCTGTGTGAGTATATGGGTCTCTGTGTGAGTCTATGGGTCTCTGTGTGAGTCTACGGGTCTCTGTGTGAGTATGGGTCTCTGTGTGAGTATGGGTTTCTGTGTGAGTCTACGGGTCTCTGTGTGAGTCTATGGGTCTCTGTGTGAGTCTATGGGTCTCTGTGTGCGAGTCTATGGGTCTCTGTGTGAGTGTCTATGGGTCTCTGTGTGAGTCTATGGGTCTCTGTGTGAGTCTATGGGTCTCTGTGTGAGTCTATGGTCTCTGTGTGAGTATGGGTTCTCTGTGTGAGTCTACGGGTCTCTGTGTGAGTCTATGGGTCTCTGTGTGGGTATGGGTCTCTGTGTGAGTCTATGGGTCTCTGTGTGAGTCTATGGGTCTCTGTGTGAGTCTATGGGTCTCTGTGTGAGTCTATGGTTCTCTGTATGAGTCTATGGGTCTGTGTGCGTCTATGGGTCTCTGTGTGAGTCTATGGGTCTCTGTGTGAGTCTATGGGTCTCTGTGCGAGTCTATGGGCCTCTGTGTGAGTCTATGGGTCTCTGTGTGCGTCTATGGGTCTCTGTGTGAGTCTATGGGTCTCTGTGTGCGTCTATGGGTCTCTGTGTGAGTCTATGGGTCTCTGTGTGAGTCTATGGGTCTGTGTGCGTCTATGGGTCTCTGTGTGAGTCTATGGGTCTCTGTGTGAGTCTATGGGTCTCTGTGTGAGTCTATGGGTCTCTGTGTGAGTCTATGGGCCTCTGTGTGAGTCTATGGGCTTCTGTGTGAGTCTGTGGGTCTCTGTGTGAGTCTGTGGGTCTCTGTGTGCGTCTATGGGTCTCTGTGTGAGTATATGGGTCTCTGTGTGAGTCTATGGGTCTCTGTGTGAGTCTACGGGTCTCTGTGTGAGTATGGGTCTCTGTGTGAGTCTACGGTCTCTGTGTGAGTCTATGGGTCTCTGTGTGAGTCTATGGGTCTCTGTGTGAGTCTATGTGTCTCTGTGTGCGTCTATGTGTCTCTGTGTGAGTCTACGGGTCTCTGTGTGAGTCTTTAGGTCTCTGTGTGAGTCTATTGGTCTCTGTGTGAGTCTACGTATGTATGTTGAACTTCTTTTGCACTGTACGTGGCCAACCGTGCTAATCGGAGGTTGGGGGGGGGGGACAACAAGCGAAACATAAAAAAAAACTGTTCTCAATAAACGCTGTCTGCGGCGGTTTGACAAAAAAAAAACAAGACGGTTCACAGCAGAGGGCGCAATTGAGCAGCGAGCGGCAGCAGCAGCAGGGCCAGCGTAACTCCGGGCACCGGAGAGCCTGAGCCCAAGTTGACGGCGTTAACGGGAACACTGAACTCCCGGAGGGAGACGGCGAGAGACGCAGAAAGGCAGGCAGGCAGACACAGGCATACCGAGCGAGACACGTGAAAAAATACACAGGTGGACACAGATTCCCCCCGTATAGCCTGAACGGACTGCGGGGGCAAGTGCTGTTAGCGAGCGCCTGTGAAGCCCGGGACAACGGATGAGGTGGTGCGTAGCCAGCAGAGACCCGCAGGTATACAGATGTAAAGCTATACGGAAATACAGTGAGGATGAGAAGCGGAGAGACGCACACATTATACCGTCCCGTCTGCTTGTCACGGCCCTTAAGTGGCAGAGAAAGCAGCGACCGATTACGCGACTCTTGCTCTCGTTGCAGATTTCAAACGTTCTTGGATTCCTCCAACACCAAGAGAGTGTTGGTGGTGTCCCACCAACCCTAATGAACTAAATCGGAGAGCCCTACTCCACAGACCACCACTAACCCCCGACGACTGCTTGCACCACCCTCCTCATTCCGACGCATCGGGCCCGCCCACCCTACCACAATGCATAGAGTTCGCAAATCTCACTCCGTGCTGAGGGCCAAATCATCGTGAACGTGCCCGGATGCCGACAGACCTGGGTCGGCGCCTGGGTGTTGTTAGGCTTCGTATGCGGGAGTGTTATCCCCCCCCCCCCCTCATATGCCACTGGTATTCTTCCGAGCACTGCCAACGCAGTCTCACTGAACAAGGTACATACATTTTGATTTAAAGCTTTCGTGACTGCAGTAATTCATATTCTTAGTTTTTTCGGTAAAGTCACATTGAAGAGAAACAACAAAATAATAAAATATATATAAAACAATAAAAAATTCTCACGACGTTTCGACCATAACTCAAACGGTCGTCTTCAGGTGTGTTGGTTCGCATACATTTATTTTTAAACGGCGCATTTATTTATTTAAAAAAAACGTTAGCGCCACGCGCAACGATTTGGCAGTTTACCCAGGACTAGTCCATCTATATTCTGAAAAGAGGAGGGGGAGACGAATTTTTTTATAATGTATGCTGTCTGAAAGCCACTGTAAGCGTGAACAATCAATTAAGACCTGAAATGGTTTATCAAATCTTTCCAATGATTGCTAAGATAGAATCCATCTTCTCGGTTGAAATTGTCTCTGTGCTTGTATATGTGGATAGCCTCATGAACGAATCTCTCATGGAAACCAGATGGCTTACAAAGAACCTCTGTCTTGGAAAAGTGAATGGCATGTGAGCCTACTGAATTAGAACAATGATCTGCCACGGCCGAGGTGTTGGTCCTATGTCTCGGACCGCATTCGTGAACACAAAGCAGACCTTAAACACGGTAGGACCAACACCTCGGCCGTGGCAGATCATTGTTCTAATTCAGTAGGCTCACATGCCATTGACTTTTCCAAGACAGAGGTTCTTTGTAAGCCATCTGGCTTCCATGAGAGATTCGTTCATGAGGCTATCCACATATACAAGCACAGAGACAATTTCAACCGAGAAGATGGATTCTATCTTAGCAATCATTGGAAAGATTTGATAAACCATTTCAGGTCTTAATTGATTGTTCACGCTTACAGTGGCTTTCAGACAGCATACATTATAAAAAAATTTCGTCTCCCCCCTCCTCTTTTCAGAATATAGATGGACTAGTCCTGGGTAAACTGCCAAATCGTTGCGCGTGGCGCTAACGTTTTTTATAAATAAATAAATGTGCCGTTTAAAAATAAATTTATGCGAACCAACACACCTGAAGACGACCGTTTGAGTTATGGTCGAAACGTCGTGAGATTTTTTTTATTGTTTTATATATATTTTATTATTTTGTTGTTTCTCTTCAACGTGACTTTACCGAAAAAACTAAGAATAAGGTACATACAATTACATCGACTGGGTGGAGAATTTGATTTTGCTCGCTGTCGCGGTAAATAAACTACAACGTCGCAACGCAGGGGTAGAAATTGACATTTTGAGGGTCCATTATTTCAAGTACATTCCTTTTTTTTATTAAGCGAGCACGGCTCGCCAGGAGGATGAGGTACAGCATCGATGCGGACACCACTTATTCTGCCTGGATGGCATAAGAGTGTTTCCCCCCACCCCCCCACCACGCGTTGGTTTTCTCCAGGCCGGAACGTTACACAAGCGGGTGGGGTGGCCAGCACCACGCCGGGCCGCCTTTGTATCCCCAGTAGCGATGCTTACACCACTGCATCAGCTACTCATCTGAGGCAGAGTCGACCTAGGGGAGGCCCAGGACCGGTTCGGATAGTCGTCACCGGTGTCGGCCGTGAGCGGGGAATCGTTCCCAGTTTGCCAGGTTCGTAGCGCCTCGCGCTCACCACTGCTACGCTACCACTCCTTCGAGTGTATACACACACACACGCACGTGGCGATGCATTTATAGATACCCCACTTTCAAAGCCTCCGACACACACCTCCCACCATTCCCAATGCACTCGTTACGGCTTCATAGACACTCTCCGGCGTGGGATTCGGAGACATCGCTGTCACAATATTCGACCGGCCGTTGAGGAGGAGGCCATTACAGTGCACACGAGCGGAATAAAATGTACCGCCGTCTATTCCTGTGAGGAGAAAACCAAAATATCGCGTGAAGTTAAAAATATCGTGGTGCATTGTTGTTTAAAGGTAGCAGTTTTTTTTTGTAAGATTTCAACTGCACGATTAAGTTGCACGGGTAAGGTCTCGGGGAGGGCCTAGGGTTTAACAGGTAAAAAAAAAATGATTTAAAGCTTTCGTGACTGCAGGGACTCAGTCTTGGTTCTTTCGGTAAAGTCACGTAGAAGGGAAACAATAAAATATTGTTTTATATTTTTATTATTTTAATGTTTCCCTTCTACGTTACTTTACCGAAAGAACCAAGAGTAAGTAAAAAAAAAAGAAATTGTTTAAAAAAAATCTGTAGATTTTTTGTTGTTGCCCAGGCTGCTCCGTCCGATTCATAATAAGGATAATAAATTACAACATTTAACGCGCTGCTTCGCGGTGGTCGCTGTTGGTCGAGACTTCAACGGCGGTAGTGGTGACCAGAGGAGGAAGAACGACGTCAGCTCGCGCAGATGCAGCAGTGACATCAACTCAAGCGCTGGAACACGACGACGGATCGATGCCCTTGTTGCGGGAACCATGAGACACGATTGCCGGCTTGTGGAGGCCTTCGCCCAGCAGTAGATTGATCGTGGGTGACGATAATCAATTGAGTTCGTTCACACCAAGAGGCTAAACCAAACGAAACTATTTAATTTCACCAGGTAAAGCCCGATTTAAAGCTTTCGTGACTGCAGTAATTCATATTCTTAGCTCTTTCGGTAAAGTCACGTTGAAGGGAAACAATAAAATAATGTCGTCGTCATCGCCTGATGACGACCGTTTGTGTTATGGTCGAAACGTCGTGAGAATTTTTATTGTTTTATATATATTTTATTATTTTATTGTTTCCCTTCAACGTGACTTTACCGAAAGAGCTAAGAATACAGGTAAAGCCCACCGAGCTATTTTTCGGAGGTGACCTGGCCACACGCGATAGCTCATTTAAGCGGCTGATATCATCACGTGGGAAATTTATACTCGAAGCCAAATAATCAAAATGCGTGTTTATAATTTGTGGAGGGCAAAATCTACGTGACCTCCACGGTTGGAGAGAGAAGCACGCGGCATCGTCAGGGTTGGGATCTAACCCGCGACACTCCTCCGTACCAGGCGAGGGAGATAACATCTTGCCGCCACCGCAGAACGATTACTCCTTCATGCTGTTACGCGGGAGTCGGCTCGCAGAGTCTTCGAGTGGACGGACCAACGTGACGATGTTGACGACGACGACGACGACGACGACGACGTTTAACCCCACGCGGCAAAGCCTTCTCCCGTCGTGCCAATCGCCGTCACAGCTGGGAGCTGTGTATGACACGAGAGGAGCCGGGGCACGCGACGCCGGCGAACGCCGTGTCGTCGACAGGCGACGACGCCGACGACGCCGACGCCGGGCCCGGCTCCAGTTTGGAGGGCTCGGAGCCGCGCAGGAGGTGGCGCCGCACCACCGTGTGTAGGCCCTTGAGCACGAAGAGCGCGGCGATGGCGGTGAAGTAGCACGCGTAGATGAAGAACTGCGGGGGGCCGCGCACGATCAACGGTTAGCGGTCGCGGTCAGCGACTTGGCGCACGCTCGCTAGCGTATGGCCGTAACGGATGCGGCGAGGCGTGCTCGTGCACATTCATGGATGCTTTCTGACACGTCCCTCTTGGACAGCTGTGAAAAAGAGCTTCAATGCTCGTCAGATTTCTCCTGGATAAATACAGATTCTGATTCCGACATACACGCAGCCAAAATAACACACTTGTTTAAGCATTTTTCGTTTACCTGAATTCATATGTATAAAATACGCAGCGTACTAAGAGACTGTACTTTACAACCGGTGCGGTGTATAAACAAAACAAAGATCTCCCCATATAGCCCTAACAGACTTTTGGAGCAAGAGCTGTTGGCAAGCAGCACCTAATGAAGGCCGGTACGGCACACGAGGGGGTGGGCTGGCCGACGCCACGCCCGGCCGCCTTTGTCTCCCCAGCGGCGATGTTTACACACCCGCACCAGGGACTCATTTGAAGCCGAGTCGACCTAGGGAAGGCCCAGGACCGGTTCAAGCATTCGCCGCTCGGGTCGCCGGGCTTGCGGGCTTTGCGCGCTAACCGCCTTACGCAGCCCTACGAGGACAAGCGTTCGGCATGGCGGCGGGGTGGCGGGGTGGCGGTCGCCCCCCGGTCCTCGCCTGCGTGACGACGTCGAGGCCCAGCCCGCGCGAGTCCACCACGACCACCGTCAGCACCGTCTGCAGTGCCAGCGCCACGAAGGTGTTGGCGCCGAACACCAGCGCGTACCGCTCCATGTCCAGCGTCGCCGCGATCTGGAACCTTGGCGCCGGCACGCGGTCCGGGCGCAGGCGTCCCGTCAAGGCGCGGGTGGAAATCGGCCGGCGCATCCCGCGGGCATCGCGCGAAGGGAATTTTGTTAAATGGATGCAAGCGGGGGGGGGGGGGGAGGGAGGGAGGGGGGGGGGGTTCCGGGGACTGGCCCTTTATTCTATTTCACATTTACGTAGCATCCTTTCCAGGGCGCTTTAAGATGGAATCCGAAGGCGTTCAGCAAGGACGGCGATGGAATGAATTGAGGGATAGGGCTCGGAATGGAGGTGATGTTGCAGGGGTAGGCAAGGCAGAATAAGGTGGAACGTGACGGTGAGTGAGGGTCTCTGATGTGTGCAACGTGGATGAGAGGCAGTGGGGTTATGGGGGACAAGGGTTTGTTGTTCACAGCCGTAACACGCGGGGCGCTCTGGTAGGGAGCTCCGGCAATCTGAATGCCCCGGGGCCCTTTCGTTCGGCCCTTCAATAGCTGTCCCGGACCCTTCCCGAACTTTCAGTAACCAGTTCTCATCGCCGTGGCCAATCAATCGCACCTCCGATTGGCGCGGTCGGCTATGTATGGCGTGAAAGAAGTTCAACATACATACAATCCTTCGCTACCCTTCAATCCCATAATTCACTTGAGGTTTTGACAGGCTCTTGCCCGTCAAATTCCCCTCAGTCAATCAGAGTGAAACCGCCCTACGGCCCTCCACCAATCCGGTGTGTTGGCGATCGTCCAATCGCGTGAGCGGGAGGCTACAGTGAGGGAAAAAAGTATTTAATCCCCTGCTGATTTTGTACGTTTGCCCACTGACAATGTTAGTTCGACTCCTCTGCATCTCGTGCTGCAGTTTCAAGCGAAACGTTGTTACAGTACCGTGTATATCTATTATAAAAGCCCGGCGTTCCGTGTACCGTCAATTAAATTATAAGAGCCTTTTAGAAGGCCTGAATCAAAACGTTATAGAAAGTGGACCCCCCCCCCCCCCCAGTTCACTAAATTTGGTTGTGAACATTTTCCTTCAATGTACAAGTTCGATGAAACATACATTATGAGCACATTTGTCAACACTTGTACACGTGGCAATTTAATTTGTTTGGCTGTGTCGGGTGGTGGAGGGGCTTACAACAAAGACGTCCAGATCATTCCTTCTTTCAACTCTTCCGATACTAGGAAGCCACTGGAGCTATGCACTTTTAAATCTATATGGGAAAACGAATTTCTTTCTAACTGCTTTTTGTGTCTAGTTTGCTGTCCTTCCCCCAGCACCTCCGATTAGCACGGTTGGCTATGTACGCTGCGAAAGAAGTTCAACATTCACATATAGACTCACATAGAGACCCATATACTCAGAGACACATCGACTCACACAGAGACCCATAGACTCACACAGAGACCCATAGACTCACACAGAGACCCATAGACTCACACAGAGACCCGTAGACTCACAGAGGCCCATAGACTCACACAGAGACCCATAGACTCACACAGAGACCCATAGACTCACACAGAGACCCGTAGACTCACACAGAGATCCGTAGACTCACACAGAGACCCGTAGACTCACAGAGACCCGTAGACTCACACAGAGACCCGTAGACTCACAATGAGACCCATAGACTCACATAGAGACCCATAGACTCACACAGAGACCCGTAGACTCACACAGAGACCCGTAGACTCACACAGAGACCCGTAGACTCACACAGAGACCCGTAGACTCACACAGAGACCCATACACTCACACAGAGACCCATAGACTCACACAGAGACCCATAGACTCACACAAAGACCCGTAGACTAACATAGAGACCCATAGACTCACACAGAGACCCATAGATGCAGAAAGAGACCCATAGACTCAAACAGAGACCCGTAGACTCACACGGAGACCCGTAGACTCACATAGAGACCCATAGACTCACACAGAGACCCATAGACTCACACAGAGACCCACAGACTCACACAGAGACCCGTAGTTTGTTGTCCTTCCCCCGCTTTGGCTACGTACGGTGCGAAAGAAGTTCAACATAGTGAGGGAAAAAAGTATTTGATCCCCTGCTGATTTTGTACGTTAGCCCACTGACAAAGAAATGATCAGTCTATAATTTTAATGGTAGGTTATTTGAACAGTGAAAAATCCAGAAAAATGCATGTCAAAAATGTTATAAATTGATTTGCATTTAATGAGGGAAATAAGTATTTGACCCCTCTGCAAAACATGACTTAGTACTTGGTGGCAAAACCCTTGTTGGCAATCACAGAGGTCAGACGTTTCTTGTAGTTGGCCACCAGGTTTGCACACATCTCAGGAGGGATTTTGTCCCACTCCTCTTTGCAGATCTTCTCCAAGTCATTAAGGTTTTGAGGCTGACGTTTGGCAACTCGAACCTTCAGCTCCCTCCACAGATTTTCAATGGGATTAAGGTCTGGAGACTGGCTAGGCCACTCCAGGACCTTAATGTGCTTCTTCTTGAGCCACTCCTTTGTTGCCTTGGCCGTGTGTTTTGGGTCATTGTCATGCTGGAATACCCATCCACGACCCATTTTCAATGCCCTGGCTGAAGGAAGGAAGTTCTCACCCAAGATTTGACGATACATGGCCCCGTCCATCGTCCCTTTGATGCGGTGAAGTTGTCCTGTCCCCTTAGCAGAAAAACACCCCCAAAGCATGTTTCCACCTCCATGTTTGACGAGGGGGATGGTGTTCTTGGGGTCATAGGCAGCATTCCTCCTCCAAACACGGCGAGTTGAGTTGATGCCAAAGAGCTCCATTTTGGTCTCATCTGACCACAGCACTTTCACCCAGTTGTCCTCTGAATCATTCAGATGTTCACTGGCAAAGTTCAGACGGGAATGTATATGTGCTTTCTTGAGCAGGGGGACCTCGCGGGCGCTGCAGGATTTCAGTCCTTCACGGCGTAGTGTGTTACCAATTGTTTTCTTGGTGACTATGGTCCCAGCTGCCTTGAGATCATTGACAAGATCCTCCCGTGTAGTTCTGGGCTGATTCCTCACCGTTCTCATGATCATTGCAACTCCACGAGGTGAGATCTTACATGGGAACCCCAGGCCGAGGGAGATTGACAGTTCTTTTGTGTTTCTTCTATTTGCGAATAATCGCACCAACTGTTGTCACCTTCTCACCAAGCTGCTTGGCAATGGTCTTGTAGCCCATTCCAGCCTTGTGTAGGTCTACAATCTTGTCCCTGACATCCTTGGAGAGCTCTTTGGTCTTGGCCTTGGTGGAGAGTTTGGAATCTGTTTGATTGATTGCTTCTGTGGACAGGTGTCTTTTATACAGGTAACAAGCTGAGATTAGGAGCACTCCCTTTAAGAGTGTGCTCCTAATCTCAGCTCGTTACCAGGTGTCTTTTATACAGGTAACAAGCTGAGATTAGGAGCACTCCCTTTAAGAGTGTGCTCCTAATCTCAGCTCGTTACCTGTATAAAAGACACCTGGGAGCAAAACATCTTTCTGATTGAGAGGGGGTCAAATACTTATTTCCCTCATTAAAATGCAAATCAATTTATAACATTTTTGACATGCGTTTTTCTGGATTTTCTTGTTGTTATTCTGTCTCTCACTGTTCAAATAAACCTACCATTAAAATAATAGATTCATAAGTTCTTTATCAGTGGGCAAACGTACAAAATCTGCAGGGGATCAAATACTTCTTCCCTCACTGTACGTGCAGCTGTGCACAGCCGTTACCGGTGACGGTCAGCCTATGGGAGTTTTTTTTAAATAGTTTTTTTTTATTCAGCCTATGCGAGTTTAATTGCGCCAATTCTGATTGGTGAAGCAGTTCGGCTCTGCTGTTCGCAACGGCGGCTTAATGACAGATGAGATGCTTCCTCCAGACGGCCTCTACACACGTAATTCATAACAGAGTTTTGGGTTTGGTCACCAATTAACGATCTGCAGCCATATTTGTCGTGACAAACCCTCCACCACCCGAGCCAGAAAAGCAAATCAAATTGTCAGGTGTGAAGATTCTCACAGCCAAATGTAGCAAATAGATACGCCACAACAATCCTCAAGTCATGAAACCAGGAAGTCAGAGTAGACCCGAGTGAATAAGTGGCTGAGTGAGTGGGTGAGTGAGTGAGTGGGTGGGTGAGTGGGTGAGCGAGTGGGTGAGCGAATGGGTGAGCGAGTGTGTGGGTGAGTGTGTGGGTGAGCGAGTGGGTGAGCGAGTGTGTGGGTGAGTGAGTGGGTAAGCGAGTGTGTGGGTGAGTGGGTGAGCGAGTGTGTGAGTGTGTGGGTGAGTGAGCGAGTGAGTGGGCGAGTGAGTGGGTGAGCGAGTGTGTGGGCGAGTGAGTGGGTGAGCGAGTGTGTGGGTGAGTGAGTGAGCGAGTGGGTGAATGAGTGTGTGGGTGAGCGAGTGGGTGAGCGAGTGTGTGGGTGAGTGAGTGGGTGAGCGAGTGTGTGGGTGAGTGGGTGAGTGGGTGAGTGAGTGAGTGGGTGAGCGAGTGTGTGGGCGAGTGAGTGGGTGAGTGAGTGGGTGAGCGAGTGTGTGGGTGAGTGGGTGAGTGGGTGAGTGAGTGAGTGGGTGAGCGAGTGAGTGGGCGAGTGAGTGGGTGAGCGAGTGTGTGGGCGAGTGAGTGGGTGAGCGAGTGTGTGGGTGAGTGAGTGAGCGAGTGGGTGAATGAGTGTGTGGGTGAGCGAGTGGGTGAGCGAGTGTGTGGGTGAGTGGGTGAGTGAGTGAGTGGGTGAGCGAGTGTGTGGGTGAGTGGGTGAGTGAGTGGGTGAGTGAGTGAGTGGGTGAGCGAGTGTGTGGGTGAGTGGGTGAGCGAGTGTGTGGGTGAGTGGGCGAGTGAGCGAGTGGGTGAGTGAGTGGGTGAGCGAGTGGGCGGGTGCACTCCTCCAGCGAATGCGGTCACGGCGGCGTACGTGGCGATGGTGATGAGGAAGGTGTAGGAGCCTTTGAAGATGACGTAGCCCACGTAGCCGACCCACACGCTGTCCAGCGCCGCCATGAGGAAGAGGGCGGCGGCGTCGAGCCCCGAGAAGACCCCCAGCGCCAGCTCCCCCCACAGCGCCCAGTCGAGCGGCATGAAGCCCACGGCGAAGGCCGACACGGCGCCTGCCGAGGGCGGCGAGGTCACGGACGGACTCTCGGTTCCCGCGCAGGCCTCTCCGCGCTCGTGCCGCTTGCGCCGACAGGGGCTCGCGGCGTCGCCCGACATCCGCGTGAGATTTCGCGAAATGTCAAGAATTTGGTTGCGGAAACGTGGCGAGGGCCGCGGGACGCCGCGGCTGTGCCGCTGCACGGCTTCCCCCAACCCCCCCTCCCCCCCCCCCCCGCCCGGTGCGTTTCCGCGTCGTCGTCGTGGTTTGGCACGATGTCCGACGTTTCGCTCCGCGGCCTTGGCACCAAATCATCTGGCGAGCCGAATTCGCCCCAAAGCTTCCGGAAGGCGTTCCCGGCGCGTGGAGTGAAACGTCGGACGTTGTGCCGACCCGATAATGCATCGGAGAGGCGCACGGTTTTTTTTTTAGAAACCCAAGCCAACGTCTCGGCAACGTGGGCGACGACCGGAAAGTCTGAATCCCTTGCGACTTGCTCAGCTTCGTTTAGATTTCCTACGCACTTTGCACTCCGATCTGCTTCTGCATTCTTTGTCGTTGCAACTTGCTGAGCCGCCCCCCTACTGGGGCATCAGTGAAAAAGAGCTTAAAAGCTCATCCGGACTCTTCCAGTCTAAATAAAGATTCTGATTCGGATCCATTCGTAAGAGGTGTTTGTGACGCTGGGCAATTTTATTCACAGTGGGGAGCGGCGACCCGGGTTCGATTCCCTCTTACTGCCAACACCAGTGACGATTATCTGAACCGGTCCTGGGCCTCCCCTAGTAACTGGTGCGGTGTGGAAACATCGCCACCAGGGAGACAAAGGTGACCAGGTGTGGTGCTGGCCAACCCACCCCCTCGAGTGCCGTGCCGGCACTCATTAGGCGCTACTCGCTAACGGCACTTGCCCCTACAGTCTGTTAAGGCTATACGGGGGATCTTTTATTCACACCACCCCTTCGGAATCCCCTGTGACTGTTTCTCTGTAATACCACGTCCTTTGCCCGGCCACGGAGTCGCATTCCGCGTGAGGAAAGCACAAGACTCCCTGTGTCCAAGCCAACTTGGCCGCTCTTCGTGCGGTTATTAACTCGTACGAACAAGACCCGTTGCTGGAATTCTTCTTAATTTTCATTAATTCCGGCAGTATTTTTCCAAATCTCTTCGCGATTACTCCCGCACACTATAAAAATGGTGAACTATTGACCGCTCGCGTCTTCGGCTTCATCACCAGCCGTTGGAAACGCGTTTTTAAAATCATCTCTATGTTTAAACTAAACTTAAAAAAAAAATGTTTACCCGGTGAGGCCCGCTGAGCTACGTAGCTCTTCTTCATAAGCGACCTGGCCACAAATGATAGCTCAACCAAGTGGCTCATCACGTGCAAATTTACAGCAGCCAAATATTCTAAAACGCATATTTCTAAATGCGGAGGGAAAAACCAGAGGACACCGAGAAAAATCCACACGACCACGGGGAGAGAGACACCGCAAACTCCAAATATACAGCAGCAGGCATCAGGGTCGGGATCGAACCCACTTCCTCCTGTATACCAGGCGAGGTAGTTAACATCTCCTAGCCACCGTGGCGCCGTGTGTGTGTGTGTGGCGGTTTGTTTGACCACGAGTGGTTCAGATATAGGAAACAATAACACAACTTGCATTCACAGGGTTCGCCTTTCACAAAAGGTCTCCCAAGTTGCCATGAATAAAAAGCAGATATTGAGAAGCAGAATCTTTATTTATCCTGGAGGAATTTGATGAGCCTTGAAGCTCATTTTCACAGATGGCCAGTATGGGTGGGGTTCAGCAAGTTTTACACCAAAATGACCAACAAACGCGTTGACATTGTTGTTGTTGATGTTTGTGCTTTGTGCACCACTGCCGACGACGCAGCGTGAGCCAAATAATTTGTTTACCTCCATAACAGAGGTGGACTTCTCCGCAAATATGTCTGTCGCATGATGAAGCTAGTTGTAATTACTGGCGAAACGTCGTACTCGGATTGTAAATGTTGTGGCTTGGCTCTCCAACACACCGGTGGTGCTGTACTAGTGACGAATTGGCCACGTTCTGTTTACGTGACGACCATTACTAGTTGGCTGTGTCGGGTGGTGGCGGGTTTAACGACACACATTTATATATTTACACGATTTAACCCTAAAAAAAACTATTATGGATGATATTGGTCGCGACAGCCTACGTGTTCATTTGTTTACAATTAAGAGGCGTGGAGATGTTCGGACAACAAGCTTTCAACGTCCATCTGTCTCCCATGTCTCCGTCTCGCTTACCGCCACGTTGCCGCCGCCCCCCCCCCCCAGAGAAAATTGAAGCAAGTCAATGAAAATTAAAAGACGTAGATATGGCACGGAAGTAGACATTTCACGAGTGTTAACATCAGTGCAAGTTTGTCAACGTCAAACGTAGAGATTGTATATTGAAGTCGTTAGCCTTGACTGGGGAATCGAACTCGGGTCACCGGGCTTCAGAGCGAAGCGCGCAAACCACCCCCCTGCCACCATTTCAACCCCATCGGTGACCTTTCGTCAAAAGCCACCTCTTAATTAGGTGTGGGTGCTATCGGTGTGGTTACGTTCATATTGAACTCAGATGGGGTATTTTGTGCAACGTTAATCCTCTGTTACGATCTTTAAAAGTGTAAAAGATTACGTTATTACGATGCAAAGGAAAGTCCGTTGAGGAAGCTTTGCAAAGGGGACGCGTTGTGTCTTTGTGTTGCCACAGGCGTTCATCTCTCTCTGTGTGCACATGGGAAAAGGTGAGACATGACGAGGTGAGACTATCGAGATGGAGGCGAGCGGTGTGCTACGTGAACCCCAAAATAATGTACGGTGGCCGCCCATCCAAGCGCTATCCAGGCTTAAAAAGTCTGCTTAGCTTCCGGAGGGTCATGCTAAGTTTTCGCAGTGGGCGAGGCAATAATTGCTTTGCAATTCCATTTACGATAGCCAGGTCGCGTCTGGAAAAGAGCCGCATAGCTCAGTGGTTTATACCTGGTAAAATAAACAAAAATTGTTTACCTTCTTTGGTTCTTTCGGTAAAGTCACGTAGAATGAGAATAAAATAATAAATTGATAAAATAAAATAACACAATAATATTCTCACGACGTTTCGGCCACAACACAAGCGGCCTTCATCAGGTGAAGGGGGCGAGACTGTCTGGTAGGACAGCGCTGGAGTGGTCTCGCCCCCTTCACCTGATGAAGGCCGCTTGTGTTGTGGCCGAAACGTCGTGAGAATATTATTGTGTTATTTTATTTAATCAATTTATTATTTTATTCTCATTCTACGTGACTTTACCGAAAGAACCAAAGAAGATGAATCATTGCAGTCACGAAAGCTTTAAATCGAAACATTTTTAATTATGCAATTTGCAGTGTCATTTAATAAAAAAATAAAATTTTAACTAAAGACACTGGCAAAACAACGCACTGGCTCTTCCCTGGGCCCTCCGGTTTTTCCCTCTCCATTTAGAATCAACATCACGCGTTTAGAGTATTTGGCTGCTATGAATTTCCATAAGATGATAAGCCACTTCGTTAAGCTTTCATTTGTGGCAGCCAGGTCGCTTCTGAAAAAAAAGCTGCATAGCTCAGTGGGGCCTTACCTGGTAAAATAAAAAATAGTTTTAGTTTCTTTTAATGACGTCACGGGATCTTTAAACGTCCGACGCGAAGCAGACGGCCGCGGGGTAGCGTTTTATGGTTAATGCGCACCGCAGCATTGACCGGGGCGGCCGTCTGCCTTCGAACCGCGAGCCTCTCTGCAACAGGCGGCGAACGCGCTGCCGCTGGGCCGTGGCGTCGCCACACGCAAGGTCACAGCACGCCGCTCGCCGTCGTTCTGCGAGGTTCTTCGTGGACCCCGCCACCGCCCTTCTCTCCCCTTCATTCGGGACAGTGGGCGTAGCGGCAGTCAAGCTGGCACAAAAAAATCTCCCTGAGCCAGGAATTCTCGGGTCGTGGGCTTTGCACGACTCTGCGGCAATTACTTTTTTTTTTTGTCTGCACGGCTTCTCCCGTCTCGTGAAATCGCACCGATCGCTCGACCGGGGTAAAATGGCGAGGGAAGATAATGGGGGGAAAAAAAAAAGATGAGAGATAGCTCCACTAGCTTGGGTACTTTTGGCCCTCTGACCTATTGACCCACACACGTGTGACCTTACCCACGAGGGTTGAGACTGCCTCGACGCCTCCGTTGTACACGGTCGTGCTGTTTGACGGCTCCATCTCTGCCCAAAGCACCTGCAGCAAAGATGTTCTCAGGATCAGAAGAATTTATTGAAAGAGGAGGAATCCGATGAGCTGTGAAGCCCTTTTTTCACAGAAGGTGCAGTATGGGGCGGGGCCTGAAAAGCTACAACAGCAAACAATACAAACAAGGATAAGCGTTCATGATACGGGTTTCTTTTGGGTTAGATCGCGAAAAATATAAATGTGTCGGTAAACCGGCCACCAACCGACGCAGCCAGGGTGGTGGCGGGTTTAGCGTCACAGGGTGGTGGCGGGTTTAACGGCATTTATATTTTTTTACGATCTAACCCAAAAAAATAAAAACCTGCATTATGGATGATATAGGTCGCGAAAGCCTACTACGTGTCAAAGAGGACCGGAGAGTGTGAAATAGAGAAAAAGGTAGGAACGTCAATAAATGCAAATAAATGTGTCACTTCAATCCGATTTATCAAAGTTGGGCAGGGCAGCAAAACGGCAATGCAACAATCCCAGACCGCACCAAGATGACGCCACACAGCGGCAGTCCCTCAATAAAACGACGCGCTAACATTGCGCTCTCGATACTGCACAGGTGAGGATCAAATCACGTTTGCGAATGTGACTGCTGTGTCCACCAGCACGCGTCTTTCTGCTTCAGGATAATCTCTCGAAGGAAGATTCACGGTGTTAAGGGAGGAGACGAGGTTGTTCCAAAACATTGGTACTGCAACGGCAAATGCTTCGTCCCCGATTAAAATTCTTGTTCTAGTCAGGATAACAACGGTAACTGTAACAAGTTCATGGTCTCAGCCGGGTCACCGAAATAGCAGCAAAAAATAAAATAAAAACCCATCACGTTAAATTTGCAATCTGAAGTTATCTTCTCGCACGGTGCACGGGAAACTCTGCCCGTTGTGTGGATAAGAGGACGCTTAAAAAGTGGATCTCGGAAGTAGTTCTGCAACATCCGCTTTTGTGGGCCGTTCTCCAAAACACGGGGTAAGACAGATGCCCCACAAGAGTTCTGCATGGACACTTCGTGACGCCGCTAGCAGGATTAGAACACAACCGAGAAAAGGACAAATTAAACGGTACCTTGTGCACCGCGTCGTCCGGCAGCGGAAGGCCCCCCACCCGCCTCCCCGCAAAACGTCTCAGTATCAACGCCAGGCATACCACTCCGCCGTTCGTTCGCTCCTCTCCCCGCAGCCGCGAGCACCTCTCGTCTCACCTGGACGTAGTTGATGACCTGGTTGTAGCCGCAGGTGGCGAGGGCCCACCAGATGGACCAGACGAGGAGGGAGCGGTCCGTGTAGCACTTCGCAAAGTCCTTCAGCAAGCGGGTGATCACGCCCGCGAAAGAAGTGTCAATCCCGCTGGGAAGAGGCGGCGATGGCGACGACGACGATGACGACGACGAACCGGCAAAGTCGACGACGTTGCAAGAGTCGCTTCCCGCTTTCACATCGTTGGGCGGCCTCTCGAAGAGAGCTTCCCCGTAGTGTGGGCGCTGGTGCTCGTCCACCAGCACCTGCTCTTCCGAAGCGACCTTTGCACATCACAGCCAAGTCGTGAGCTTTATTTGTTATCATAAAGTAATAAAGCTTTCGTGACTGCATAAAATTGCTCATTGTTTTTTTTCGGTAAAGTCACGTATGTAGAAATGCAATAAAATTATATTAAAACAAAAAAATTATCACGACGTTTCGATCACAACGCAAGCGATCTTCATCAGGTGTCAAGAACAAATCACGGAGGTAAATACAACCAAATGATGAGAGACAAGAATTCAATAAACCTGAAAAAACATTATGTGAAGCACATCCAGTCAGGCCAACAACACAGACACTTCCTGGCGGACCACGAATTTCAGAAGTGTTGAACACGAAATTTAACACTCTTCTGAAATTCGTGGTCCACCAGGAAGTGTCTGTGTTGTTGGCCTGACTGGATGTGCTTCACATAATGTTTTTTCAGGTTTGTTGAATTCTCGTCTCTCATCTTTTTGAGGTATTTACCTCCGTGATTTGTTCTTGACACCTGATGAAGATCGCTTGCGTTGTGATCAAAACGTCGTGATTGTTTTTTGTTTTAATAAAATTTTATTGTATTTCTACATACGTGACTTTACCGAAAAAAAAAATGAGTAAGTTTATTTGTTATTCCCGCCACTCCCATAGCGCGAGGCTACCGTTACCGAGGCCCGGTGATTCACGGACGATTGCGGTCAGAAAGTTTGACGGGCAGGTGGTGGTTTTTTGCTGCGTGGCATCGGCCAATCAGGTAATGTGGGAGTCGCTTTTTTTTAACTTCGCAAAAATTCGCACGGCCCACTCGCATTTTCGAAATGGCGTCGCGAGACCTTGTGAAGCAGTACGGGGGGCACATTTAAGGCGAACGCAACCGCAGCATTAAGCCGCCGGGTTCCACCCGCGAAATCTCACAACAAAACGGCAAACGCGCTAAAAACTTAAACCGGGGGAGGGGCGGGGGTCGCTTTCGTGGCCCGCTGCAACGATCCGCATTTAAAAACCGAAACCGCTCTTGACGCTTCGCTGACCTGCGAGTCCGCCACCTTGCCGCCGCTCAGCCGCTCGTACGGCACGTCGCCGGTGGCCGCGGCTGCGACGCTAGCGCCGGCGCGGAGCTCCACTGCCGCGACGGACGGGACGCCGGGGGAGGCTGCTTCGCCGCCGTCGTCGCCGTCGTCGCCGTCGCCGCCGCCCAGGCCGGCGGCCCCGTCTGCCTTCGACGGCGTCGGCGCCAGCGCCGCCCTCTTGTGGAAGAACATGCTGCGCTCGGGCGAAGGCAGCAGGAAGGAGGCGACGAAGGCGAGCGACACGGACGCCAGCGAGATGATGTTGAGGCTGCGGTACGAGGTGCCGGCCACGGACACGAGCACCTGGCCCAGCACGGAGGCCAGCGTGTAGCCCGCGAGAGTCGCGCTCCTGCACGTGCCAGATGACGGAGGCACCAGGTGATTGCGGGCCCACACGAAAGACAAAGATTCCCCCCCACCGTGTGTAGCCTTTCAACAGACTGTTGGGGCAAGTGCTGTTAGCAAGCGTCTGGTGCAGTGTTCTCCACTAATCTTCAGAGGGGGGCCACTCTCGCCGATAAGACATCATCAGTGTGAGGGCCGCCACACATTTGAAACCAATGGGGGTTTGACAGCAGCACGATGATGATGATGAGGGGGGGTGTTTTTACTATTAGTGTATTGTCAGGGGACCGCACGTCAGGGGCCTCACTAAAGGTCACCAGGGGCCACCAGTGGCCCGCGGGCCTTGCAATAAAAACACCGATCTAGGGGGTGGGTGGGTAACAGCACGCTGGGCTGCCTTTGTCTCCCAAGCGCAGACGTTTACACGCCACACTAGGTTCTCATTTAAGGCTGAATTGACCTAGAGGAGGCCCATGACCGGTTCAAATATTCTACGAAATGTATATATATATTTTTAAATGTGGGTTATGAGCAGTAGGGTCTACGTACACGGGAAACCAAACAACTGGATGTGATGTTCCCCGCCAAGGTCAAAACTAACGCGCCCCCAAATTCCGAATTGCTCGTCCGGCGATGCACGCGTGAGACACGGAGCTCACGACGAGCTTCACGACATCGCCGCTCCACGTGAGGCCGACTCCCTCGCCCTTGATACGGACGTGGCCACGGTGTTATTGACGAGCGTGTCGAGATTAGTTCGCGTGATTTCATGTTCGTGCGCCAATGCAGCAGCAGCAGCAACAGCACCGGCATCGCGTGATAATTAATTAAATTTGCTTTCAACTACTTTTCATTTATTTTTCACGCTCTTATCGGCAACGCTAACATAAAAGCGGTTTGACCGAGTCTAATCACCAGTGCTGCTGTTGCTGCTGCCACCTCCACGAACCTCCGATTAGCACAGTTGGCTACATACGGTGCGAAAGAAGTTCAAAATACATACATACATAGACTCAGACAGAGACCCATAGACTCACAAACCCATAGACTCAGAGACCCATAGACTCACAGAGACCCATAGACTCACACAGATACCCATAGATTCACAGACCCATAGACTCAGAGACCCATAGACTCACACAGAGACCCATAGACTCACAGACCCATAGACTCAGAGACCCATAGACTCACACAGAGACCCATAGACTCACACAGAGACCCATAGATTCACAGACCCATAGACTCAGAGACCCATAGACTCAGACAGAGACCCATAGACTCAGACAGAGACCCATAGACTCACAGACCCATAGACTCAGAGACCCATAGACTCACACAGAGACCCATAGACTCACACAGAGACCCATAGACTCACACAGAGACCCATAGATTCACAGACCCATAGACTCAGAGACCCATAGACTCACACAGAGACCCATAGACTCACACAGAGACCCACAGACTCACAGACCCATAGACTCAGAGACCCATAGACTCACACAGAGACCCATAGACTCACACAGAGACCCACAGACTCACAGACCCATAGACTCAGAGCCCTATAGACTCACACAGAGACCCATAGACTCACACAGACACACACAGACTCACACAGAGACACATAGACTCACACAGAGACCCATAGACTCAGAGACCCATAGACTCACACAGAGACCCATAGACTCACACAGACACACACAGACTCACACAGAAACACATAGACTCACACAGAGACCCAGACTCACACAGAGACCCATAGACTCAGAGACCCATAGACTCACACAGAGACCCATAGACTCACACAGACACACACAGACTCACACAGAGACCCATAGACTCAGAGACCCATAGACTCACACAGAGACCCATAGATTCACAGACCCATAGACTCAGAGACCACATAGACTCACACAGAGACCCATAGACTCACACAGAGACCCACAGACTCACAGACCCATAGACTCAGAGACCCATAGACTCACACAGAGACCCATAGACTCACACAGAGACCCACAGACTCACAGACCCATAGACTCAGAGCCCTATAGACTCACACGGAGACACAGAGACCCATAGACTCACACAGACACACACAGACTCACACAGAGACACATAGACTCACACAGAGACCCATAGACTCAGAGACCCATAGACTCACACAGAGACCCATAGACTCACACAGACACACACAGACTCACACAGAGACACATAGACTCACACAGAGACCCAGACTCACACAGAGACCCATAGACTCAGAGACCCATAGACTCACACAGAGACCCATAGACTCACACAGACACACACAGACTCACACAGAGACCCATAGACTCAGAGACCCATAGACTCACACAGAGACCCATAGACTCACACAGAGACCCATAGACTCACACAGAGACCCATAGACTCACACAGAGACCCATAGACTCAGAGCCCTATAGACTCGCACAGAGACCCACAGACTCACACAGACACACACAGACTCACACAGAGACCCACAGACTCACACAGAGACCCACAGACTCACACAGACACACATAGACTCACACAGACACACACAGACTCACATAGAGACCCATAGACTCACACAGACACACACAGACTCACACAGAGACCCATAGACTCACACAGACACACACAGACTCACACAGAGACCCATAGCTTGTCGTCCTTCCTACGCACCTCTGATTAGCGCGGTTGACTACGTACGGTGTGAATCGAGTTCGACGTACAGCGCGGACGTACCTGCAGTAGCCGGTGACCCGCTGGTAGTGCTTAGTGGCCACCACGCTGTAGATGTAGGAGTAGTAGGCGACCTCCGTGGCCGTGACGACGCCGTAGCAGAACTCCATGGCCTGCATGGCGGGCACGCCGCGCGCCCACAGCAGCAGGCACCACGTCACCACGAGCGCCGCCCCTTGCAGCACGATTACCGCCTTGTAGCGCAGGAAGTCCGTCAGCAGGAACACGGGCAGCAGCAGGGCCAGGTAGGAGTACGTCCACACTGGCAGCACCTTGTTGGTCAGCTGCCGGGGACAGGGTAGAAGCGTAGCGGAATGTCAAGATTTTATTTTCGTCCCCTCCCCGTTTACCATATGGCGGACAAAGTAGCAGGGCAAATCTTGACTCAAAGCTTTTGCGACTGCAGGAATTCATATGCTTGGGTCTTCCGGTAAAGTCACGTAGATGGGTTCAAAGAAGATAACAAGACGACCGCTCGTGTTGCGATGGAAACGTTTTTTGTTATTTTTTTGTTATTTTCTTTGAACCTACAGTGAGGGAAAAAAGTATTTGATCCCCTGCTGATTTTGTACGTTTGCTGACTGATAAAGAAATGATCAGTCTATAATTTTAATGGTAGGTTTATTTCAACAGTGAGAGACAGAATAACAACAAAATCCAGAAAAACGCATGTCAAAATGTTATAAATTGATTTGCATTTTAATGAGGGAAATAAGTATTTGACCCCTCTGCAAAACATGACTTAGTACTTGGTGGCAAAACCCTTGTTGGCAATCACAGAGGTCAGACGTTTCTTGTAGTTGGCCACCAGGTTTGCACACATCTCAGGAGGGATTTTGTCCCACTCCTCTTTACAAATCTTCTCCAAGTCATTAAGGTTTTGAAGCTGACGTTTAGCAACTCGAACCTTCAGCTTCCCCCACAGATTTTCAATGGGATTAAGGTCTGGAGACTGGCTAGGCCACTCCAGGACCTTAATGTTCTTCTTCTTGAGCCACTCCTTTGTTGCCTTGGCCGTGTGTTTTGGGTCATTGTCATGCTGGAATACCCATCCACGACCCATTTTCAATGCCCTGGCTGAGGGAAGGATGTTCTCACCCAAGATTTGACGGTACATGGCCCTGTCCATCGTCCCTTTGATGCGGTGAAGTTGTCCTGTCCCCTTAGCAGAAAAACACCCTCAAAGCATAATGTTTCCACCTCCATGTTTGACGGTGGGGATGGTGTTCTTGGGGTCATAGGCAGCATTCCTCCTCCTCCAAACACGGTGAGTTGAGTTGATGCCAAAGAGCTCCATTTTGGTCTCATCTGACCACAACACTTTCACCCAGTTGTCCTCTGAATCATTCAGATGTTCATTGGCAAACTTCAGACGGGCATGTACATGTGCTTTCTTGAGCAGGGGGACCTTGCGGGCGCTGCAGGATTTCAGTCCTTCACGGCGTAGTGTGTTACCAATTGTTTTCTTGGTGACTATGGTCCCAGCTGCCGTGAGATCATTGACAAGATCCTCCCGTGTAGTTCTGGGCTGATTCCTCACCGTTCTCATGATCATTGCAACTCCACGAGGTGAGATCTTACATGGAGCCCCAGGCTGAGGGAGATTGACAGTTCTTTTGTGTTTCTTCCATTTGCGAATAATCGCACCAACTGTTGTCACCTTCTCACCAAGCTGCTTGCCAATGGTCTTGTAGCCCATTCCAGCCTTGTGTAGGTCTACAATCTTGTCCCTGACATCCTTGGAGAGCTCTTTGGTCTTGGCCATGGTGGAGAGTTTGGAATCTGATTGATTGCTTCTGTGGACAGGTGTCTTTTATACAGGTAACAAGCTGAGATTAGGAGCACTCCCTTTAAGAGTGTGCTCCTAATCTCAGCTCGTTACCTGTATAAAAGACACCTGGGAGCAAAAAATCTTTCTGATTGAGAGGGGGTCAAATACTTATTTCCCTCATTAAAATGCAAATCAATTTATAACATTTTTGACATGCGTTTTCTGGATTTTTTTGTTGTTATTCTGTTTCCCACTGTTCAAATAAACCTACTATTAAAATTATAGACCGATCATTTCTTTGTCAGTGGGCAAACGTACAAAATCAGCAGGGGATCAAATACTTTTTTTTCCCTCGCTGTAGCTACGTGACTTTACCGAAAGACCCAAGAATATAAAGTAGCAGAGCGTTTCAGCATTGGGTACACGTGCAATTTCTTAACTTGCAGCAGTCTAAGCCAGGGGAATTCTGTTCAGGCTCTAGCGGTGGGTAATGGGTGAAGTGAGTAATTAACGTTATCTCCACACTCTTGCTTCATGGTCTGGCATCGTCATGAGGCTGAAGTTCAATTTTAATTGGTGAGCTACAGTAAATCTGAACACTTGTTATCACGCACTCTTATGAGTCTAGACCATCATGTTTTGCCCACTGATCGCACGTACGTCAGCTTTTCGGAACACCGTTTTTTTGTTTGTTAAAGTCTGTTGCAGACCCGGCTTAGCCTCAAGCATGGATCCAGAACATCAGCCGGTAACTTATTTCGGGTCGTCGGAGAGTCCGGTGAAACTGCGCTGGCCGTATGGCTACGCAAGATTTGTTCACGGGAGCGGTAGCACCACAACCAGCACCACCAGGAGTACCACCACCACCACAGGCACCACCATCAGCACTGCCACCACAAGCAGCACCACCACCACCAGCAGCAGCAGCAGGATTACCGTGGACCGCGGATCGTAGACGGCTTCAATTGGGGTCCGTTGAGGCCGGAATTGCTCGGCGAGATAGGATGAAGCGGATTTTCGCAGACCAGAGTTCACTCATTTTTAGAGGAGGGGGAGGGGGGTGACCCACTTTCCCCGACGAGACATCATCAGTGCGAGGGCCGGCACCACACATCTGAAACTATCGGGGGTTTGTGACAGCACGACGATGATGGGGGACGTTTTCACATTTGTGTATTTTTGGGGGCCGCACGTCAGGGGCCGCCAGTGGCCCGCGGGCCTTGCAATGAGGAACACTGATGTAGACTCTTCTAGGCGTAGTTTGCAAACAACCCTTGGTGTGACCGGTAGCCAATGTAACGCGTCTCGTATCGAGGTCCCGATCGAATAAAATTTCGGCGACTAAACTATCAGGCGAGCCGCAGCATTGAAGACCGACAGCAGCGGACGCAGATGCATACCTGTCAACCCATACGGTTTAAACGTATTCCTGAGTTTTCAGGTCCATAAGGCGTACAGCAGTTTCAATACAGCCAATTTTGTTTTGTCTATTTCTTTGTGTTTCTCCCTTGTGATGGGACTTTGTAGGATGAACGTTGAGATTTATAAGTGGCACGGGGTGACCAATAAGGTCTGAATCGGTCTGTAATAAGGCAGGGCACTGAGAAGGGGTTGACATGTATGCAGATGCAGAGCACTGGCACAGCTGAAGATTCTGTTGCAGAAGTCCAAACGACTGATGACGAATTCATGGACGAACATCCCAGCGTGTCTCAACAGTCAGTGAGCGATGCACACATGTCCCCTGTAGGCACAGGCGCAATTGTGCGGTGGTGCGCATGTATTATCATCATCAGCCACGGTTCATCCACTTGCCAGATGAACGCCTCTCCCCAAGCTGCCGGCATTTCTCGCGATCCTGCTATGTGACAATGAAACGAGCAACCGCGCACGAGCCGATGTCAGATATCGCCGTCGCTCCCATCTCCTCCGTGGCCGCGTTCCACCTCCGTTCGTTGTTCTTGACCATCAGCAATCGTCGCTTCGCGCCACATACAGTTGTCACGGAACTACTGCCGAGGTGTCTGTGCGCTGCGATAAACCTTACCTTTCATACGCCATTGCGTAGCCATGAACTATTATACGCAGATCCCGTGATTCGAATTCCTTGCGGAATGTTCACGTTTTTTCCAGACTAGCAGAGCTGATAGACACGTCACGTAAAATGCGTAACATGCCATGCATGATCTGTGCTCGCGCGCAGAACTCAGCGCATTCGTCAATAACATGGTGTGGCCTTAAAAGGAGAAAAATAGGAAGCAGGTGACTTTTCGGGATATAGCCTTCGTCATGTTGAAGGCGAGTGCTGTGGGGTTTTTGTTTCCTTCTGTGTCGGCATGCCAAAAAATGAAACGTTCAACACCTGGGGGCAGGCATGACCACACGTGGAGCTGGTGAGATATTAAGCCCCCACGTGGCGAGAGATATCTTCGCAACACGGCAAGAACGAATACTTGCAGTGCTTTGCTGTTCGCCTCACCCAAAGTATTGGTTGGACAAACGCTTTCATTGCTTTGGCCAGATTTCCAACAGAGCAAAGGTTCCCAAGAGCAACAAACGTTGGCGCGGCGGTTTTGTTCACGGCGGATCAACGTTGCGAGAGTTTACGATCACTCTCCCCTCCCTCCGGCACCACAAATCGCGACTCCGCCGGCTTGAGACAAAGAAGACGGGGGAAGAGCAAAATTCGTAAGAAAAAAAAAATTAAATCTTAGTTGGCAATATTTTGTTGTTGTTAAAACACTAAACTTAATAATGGTTGGAAGTGTTATTAATCCATTACGCGGGCTTTACATTTGACTCACGCAATTGAAAAAAAAAAACGTTTCAGTCACTCAGCCAATTTGGCTTTTCAGACTAAAATTGCCAAAAGCGGTACTTGTTGACGCAAGAAAACTCTAGAACTGCTCTCTCGACCTTTCTGGGGTCAACACTGCACCTTGTAAAGGTAAAACGGAGTTCTTAGGCCATGTGTGCGGTGCATGTACAACCAACTACATCATGGGACCTCCTTTGCCAATACCAAAATGTAGCTGCTCACCCCGAGCTCCCATTACTCTGATAGTGGCATTGTCTTTGTGCTGTGTGACGCCTTTTGGCGTCCTCTGGTCTAACACCGTTTGAGACGAGGCTCAAAAGAAAGCTGTCTCTGGTGTGGACCAATCAGTTTCAAGGACAATGCATCATATATTATCAGAGTACGGTTTTTGTTTGCATTCTGACCACAAGTATTGCGATTAATGCAGACATGATTCCTTGTAAAAGGTTTCAGTTTGGTGTTTTAACATCTCAACACTACTGTTTTGTTGCCAGAAAAAAGGGTAAAACCTATTTTCATACAACCAACTAGTTAATCATCGATTATGTTATCCGGCTGCTGCTTAAAACATTATCCGGCTGCGGTGCCCGGCCGATCAGGCGAAACCGCTCCAAAGGCTGCATCATTCCGGCGATCGTCAAACACACATCATCATCATGTTAGTAGGTTAACACGTAGGCTTTCGCAACCAATATCATCATCCATCGTGTTGTGGAAACAAGAGCGTTAGGGAGTGCGTACACCACCCCATGCAGATTATTCGAGATTAGAGTGGCAAGTACGGTAACCTTTTACTACTGGTAGGAACGAAGTTGTAAACTGAGTGTACCAGCCTGTAATAGATTAATGTGTCCGTCCGTCCGTCCCCTTTCAATATTTTAACGAAGTGAAATCTCGTGCTGTTGGGTGTAACAGGTCCCTGCAGGGTGGGCTGGTAGGAACATTGGAATTTTGCGCAATTTTATGACATTGTTACGTAAAATTGTGCAAATTGAGAGCGTCTTCCCACCTTTTTGCCCTCAAAATCGTTGAGGGTTCTTCGGACAAATTAACCTCTGTAGAGGAATGGAATGGTGAAATCCTTATACTGGTAGGAACGAAGTTGTAAACTGAGTGTACCAGCCTGCAATAGATTAATGTGTCCGTCCGTCCCCTTTCAATACTTTAACGAAGTGAAATCTCGTGCTGTTGGGTGTAAAATCAGCAATAGACAGCGCAGAGACTTGATATGTCTTATTGCACCCAACATTTGGAAGTCACATTATCTCATTTGCGAACTTCGCTTTTGGGGATGTGCCAAATTCACACAGCCCACAGCCGAATACCATTTGCGAGGCGAAGTTCGAAGGCACCGTGACGTTACTTTGCCAATGTTCCTACCAGCCCACCCTGCAGGGACCTGTTTTAAAGTAGGATATTTATTGGTGCCTATTTGTATGCTTATCTAAATACCAATTTCATATAGTAAACACATTTAAACACTAAAACTGTATCTACACAACACCTAAAAACAATGCCATGCCAGAACGTGCAAAAATTAAAACGATAAAAAACTGATGGAGTGATTATCCCCGCGTTTAAAATCAGGCACCCCCTTTCCCTCGATTACAATTTAATCAATGATCGAGTGTACCAACATTTCTCAGTTTAACAGGTCCCTGTAGGGTGGGCTGGTAGGACAAGTCTCTGCGCTGTCTATTGCTGATTTTACACCCAACAGCACGAGATTTCACTTCGTTAAAGTATTGAAAGGGGACGGACGGACGGACACATTAATCTATTGCAGGCTGGTACACTCAGTTTACAACTTCGTTCCTACCAGTAACAGTTGCACATCGGGTGGCAAGCAGGCACGTGGTCATGGACGGCTCAACAGGACCTCACGTCGTAACATAATCCAGAGGCAATGATTACAGTACATTGTATGCATGGGGTAAGTTTCACCAATCGCTAACACGTTATTCGCGCTTGAGCTTATACGCTGGAACATCTTTTGTCAGTGTTATCGTAGTAGACAAACCCCCTCGCCAGAGCTGAATACTGCTGGAAATACTCGCACTGCAGCTGGTAACGGGGCAAAGCAAAGTCTAGTCTTGTCCGTGCGGTGGCAATTGCGTGCAGGCGCACAACTCACATCCTCCGTCGACAGCTGCACATCGGGTCCAACCAGGTAGGGTGTGAGGAACGGCTCGGACGGGCGCATGTTGTACAAGAAGCCGTAGGCGCACAGCACAATTGTGGGAAACTTCCAAGACGTTCTAAACTGGGTCCACCGCATCTTCACTGCTTCGGCGGCGGCGGCGGCGGGCGAAGGGAAAAGTTCTCAAACTTCAACGACAAAACCGCTGCTGCCCGCTTCCCTCTCTGCGGTGTTGCTGCCGCACTAAGCGAAGCGCTGCGCCGTACGCAGTAAACCACCCAGGGTGTGTGGAGGAGGAGTGTTAAACCCCACGGCACGGTATATTACACAAAGCGGTCACATGGCACGCCGCGAATTGACCTTGGGAGGGGGAGGGGAAGGCGGCGAGCGGACGCGACATTTGCCGCCCGGATTCTTTCAGATCTCCTTGCCGCGACCCGCGCGCACTTTGCGTGCGAGCGCTCGCCGTCGAAGGGCAGAATAAACGAGGCCCATTTGGGGGGTTCACGGTCTCACAAGTGCGCGCTGAAGGGGTACAGAGTCCCGCGTGGTGTCACTGTGACGCGCTGTTCACCGTGAGCTCACCCAGCTCTTAAGAACCTTTAGAATTCTTGAACGCCACGGAGACGCTGTTCGCGTTGTCCATACATATACGAGTTAATAAGATAAGGTTATTATTTGAGTTATTTGTAATTATTATTCATTATCGAAGACATTCATCGTTAACTATCCCGCCACATCCACCCGGCCCCGTGTTGACTCCACTTCCTGCATGTGCGGCCTCTGCGCGCGATGCGATTGGCCACTGCGCGGTAGGTGGGGCTAGCTCTGTCCAATCAGCGCGCGGCTGCTGACTCTGGAAGATTTTTTTTATGCGCGGGGTTTTTTATTGGTCGCTCGCATGCGTCTTCCGCCACTGGAAGCGTCTTCCGCCACTGGAAGAATCTTCCTCCACTGGAAGCGTCTTCCGCCACTGGAAGCGTCTTCCGCCACTGGAAGAGTCTTCCGCCACTGGAAGCATCTTCCGCCACTGGAAGCATCTTCCGCCACTGGAAGAGCCGTGGACACGCTCTGTGAGTCGATGGCGGTGTACTCTTTGGTTCTATTCGGTAAAGGCACGTAGGTAAAATAAATAAAACAACAAAAATCACGACGTTTCGGCCACAACACAAGCGCCCTTCATCAGGTGAAGGGACCAGACTGTCTCGAGGACAGCGCTGGAGTGAAACAGAGCCAAGCTCAGACCGCGACCTCCAAGCTGTGTGAGATGAATCAAGGTGCCTTGACAAAGGAATTAGCATAAAAATTAGCATTTAATTGGCGGACTTAGCATGATGAAAGGTGAACATGTGCAGGTCGGCGAGGGGGGGGGGTGTGAAAAGGGAAGAGAGCGGGGATGCTGTGAAAGTTTGGGGTACCACTACTTGAAAAAATATATACTGTACCATTGAAAAATTAGTTTAATGTTTGGTTCCATTTAGAACATCTTTCCAATGGTTGCTTAATTTGAAACCATCTCCTCGGTTGAAATTGTGTCCGTGTTTGTAAATCTGAATTTGCCTCGTGAACAAATCTCTGATTAAAAAAAAACCCGTGGGTTTGCAAAGAACCTTGGTATCGGAGAAAATTATATCGCGATCACCCACAGCGTTGTAACAGTGATCAGCGTGACGGAGATCGCGTCACGTGACGTGAGGGTTCTGCCTTTGTAGTGAGGGTTGTGAGTTGACGCCGAGGAGGGGGGAGGAGGAGGCGCCTCGCCCCCACCCCCCATGGGGAGTGACGTCACGCGCTCATGATTATTAATGAGGGGGGCGGGTCCATGTGGAGGACGTAACCTGTTCATGATTTGTATTTGAAGCTTTCGTGACTGCAGTAATTCATATTCTTAGCTCTTTCGGTAAAGTCACGTTGAAGGGAAACAATAAAATAATAAAATATATATAAAACAAAAAAATTATCACGACGTTTCGACCATAACACAAACGGTCGTCATCAGGTGTGTCGGTTTGCATTAATATATTTATTTTTAAACGGTGTATTTATTTATAAAAAACGTCAGCGCCACGCGCAGCGATTTGGCAGTTTATTTAGAAGGACGAGTCCATCTATGTTCTGAAAAGAGGAGGGGGGAGACGAAAAATTAATGTATGCTGTCTGAAAGCCACTGTAAGCGTGAACAATCAATTAAGACCTGAAATGGTTAATCAAATCTTTCCAATGATTGCTAAGCCAAAATACATCTTCTCGGTTGAAATTGTCTCTATGCTTGTATATGTGGATAGCCTCATGAACGAATCTCTCATGGTAGCCATGATTATTAATGAGGGGGGCTGGTCGACGTGTAATGACGTGACGCGCGTTCCACACTGACATTCTTCGGTAAATATCGGAGTAAATACCGTGTCAACCCATCACGTTTATTCCCCGTCTTCTTGTGCAGGGAAATTGAGTTTTCAGGTCCATACGGCATACAGCCGTTTCAACACGGACACATTTATTTGCCTTTTTGTGTTTCTCCCTTGTGATGGGACTTTGTAGGATGCACGTTGAGATTTATAAGGGGCACGGGGTGACCAATAAGGTCTCAATTGGTCTGTAATAAGGTAGGGCACTGATAAGGGGTTGACAGCTTTGTTATATTGGGGGGGGGGGGAAACTAATGAGAATTCGGTAATGGGACTGAATAAGCGAGTTGTAGTTGCCACCACTACACCGCTTTGCACATAATCATTTGCAATAACAAGTACTTATCAAAACAAGTTTCATTGGGTTTTTTTGGTTTATTTTGAAGATATGTTGAGCCAATGTATAACTTATTTATAACAAGTGGGAGGGAAGAACCGGAGCACCTGGGGAAAACCGCACAAGTGCGATGAGGATAACACTCCATCCCCGTACAGATGGAAACAGACGGCGATTGTAGCGTTTTGGCGTTGTGTAGCTTGCGGTATAAAGGCACGTAAAGAGGGGGAAGAGAAGGGAGGGAACCATAGCTGTGGATGGGCTGCAAGGGGATTCCACAAAGGTGGAACAGCAACACAGAAATACTTATTTAAAAAGTCTAATTTTGAGCGAATGGAATATTTAGTGGGAACAAGCAGACACTTCTGAGGCTACGGGAAGGGGGGGAAACGAAGTGGTGCTTCGGTTAATTGGTGGATTTAAGGGGCCCTCTAGGATGATGACAGCCCTAGTGGATGGTCTCCCCGGATAATGCAGGAGGGGGACAGATTTGTGTGAATATGCGAGGTCGCAATGGTGAGTTCTATTGGGGAAGCCAACAGCAAAACGGAGTCGCATCGTGGAATGAGACTAAATAAAGTGGAATTCTTGGTTCTTTCCGTAAAGTCACCACGTAGAAGGGAAACAATAAAAAAATAAAAATATAAAACAATAAAATTCTCACGACGTTTTGACTGCAACACAAGCAATCATCATCAGGTGTGAAAACCACAGCAAGAAATTTTGAAAAAAGTGGCGTTTTTTAAAATAAATAAAGTGGATTCAGAAGTCGATGAGGGTGTGAGTTTATGCTGTTATCGCGCTGCGCTACGAACCCGGCAACCCGAGTTCGATTCCCGCTCACGGCCAACACCAGTGACGATTATCTGAACAGGTCCCGGGCCTCCCCTAGGTCGACTCGGCCTAAAATTTGTACCTGGTGCGGTGTGTAAACATCGCCACTGGTTAGACAAAGGCGGCCGGGCGTGGTGCTGGCCACCCACCCCACCGTGTGCTGTTGTCGGTCTTCATATGTGCTACTCGCTAACAGCACTTGCCCCAAAAGTATGGTAAGCCTATCCGGGGGATCTTTGTCTTTGTTTGCTGTATGCACCACGTGACAGGTGTCCAGCCAAAGATGGCAAATGCAACGACTGTGGCAAGCCCTTCGCCCGTGGTTGTATGACATGAAACCAGAAGGGCAGCCACTCATGCTGTTGACACAGACCATCAGTCGGATCGTCGACAGCTCTTGAAGGAGAGGAGGCAGCCTCGCGGAGGATGGCTCAGAATGTGCACGTCCTGGTCAATGTGGGGAAGACATCCTGGAGGGAGGGAGGGAATCCCGTGATTGAGTGGGGAGGTAGGCCAGTCGGAGCGCAGATCCACACGGGAGCAACGCTATCGATCGGACCCCCCCCATTATAAAGCCTATACAGATGTATGCCTCGTGAAGTCGCGAAGCAAGTCCGACCGGGAAGGTCACTCTGGGAACCCTGACATTTGTGACGATGTGTGCCGATGGGGGGGGGGGGGGTTGAGAAATGTGACGTCACATCAAAATGCGCAACTTTAAATAAATATAGACAACACGTTCTACTTAGTTACTTAATTAAATAGACTTTTTAAATAAATGTTTTCTCCTACAACATCAGAGTGCAGCGTCACATTAAATACGCACTACAATGACAATAGTTTAAAGCAATTTGAAGCATGTTTTTTGGGGGGGGGGGGCAGAGCTTGGTGACGTCATATTTGACGAGCGGTCTGACTTTTTGTGACGTCGTGTGACGAGAGGGGGGGGGGTCAAAAATCGTCCAAATTCGTGTGACGTCATTTATGGACGGCCCCTTTGTGTGTCCGGGTCGCTTCTGAAAAAGAGCTATATACAGCTGAGTGGGCCTTGCCTTCTAAAATACAAATATATATACATTTGTTTTTGTTTAGAAACAATAGTTTACAACCAATGCTGCTCCCGAGACTGCAGACGTCACGATGTGTCGGGGACATTGGCTCGTGCCGCCGTCTCCTGGCGAGCTAGGGAATGTGCCCCTCGACTGTGCCCACGGGTAAGAACGGAGTTTCGCAATTATCTGTGCCGGTGATTCGCCTACTCTTGCCTCTACAGTGCTGGATCACAGGCCACGTGTATAGCCATCAACCGCCCGTCTTATTAATTCGCCACTAATGGTAAAAAAACAATGGTTTTTGTCCATAATGCAGGGTTTTTTTGGGGTTAGATCGTGTAAATATATAAATGTGTCGTTAAAACCCGCCACCACCCGACACAGCCAACTAGTAAGGGTTGTCACGTAAATAGAACGTGCCAATTCGTCACTAGTACAGCAACACCGGTGTGTTGGAGAGCCAAGCCACAACATTTACAATCTGAGTACGACGTTTCGCCAGTAATTACAACCAGCTTCATCAGGCGACAGCCTGATTTGTGAAGTCCACCTGTTTCGTTCCTTATGTTTTTGTTCTCAATTGCTGAAATACGCACGTCACATTTTAGGCACAAAAAAAAAACCCCACCATTGAAGCACTTCACCTGATCCTACGTAAACGGATGGGATGATTGAGCGGTCAAGTCGCACCATTTCTGCCGTATTATGCCAAGCGGTCAATGAAAACAATCCGAGTGGGAATTGCCCATTCCCAGGGTTGCCACGGCTTTATTGGTTGGCTCCGCACGCTTCCGCGGGATTTCCCCCCGTTCTTCCCCGCGTACAGCCGGGAACCAGCTCTTCAAATTGAGAATCATCTGGACACAAACACCGCTGAGATCCTGGTTGAAATCCTGCGTTTAAGCCGCCTGTCCTTAAACCGGAGTTCTCAAAAGCTCATCCGGTCGATTCTGTCTCTCTCTTGATTTATCTGATTTATAGATTTGCTTCATTCTCCTATAACGTGCCTTTTCATAACGCGAGTTTGATATTTATATGTAACGTGATGAATGCATTAGGGATCACGTGGATGCAAATTGGATATAACGCGATCGAGCGAAACGAACCGCGTCGCGCCCGAGCACGAGCAAGCAATCGTGCGGCTGCCTTGGCGTATCATCGTCGCAGAAGGCATTGGGATACTGTTGGATGCTTCCGGATGCCACCCCTGGCGCCGCAGTCTTCGTTCAAGCCAGCGTACGCATCTCAACTGCTTCACGCTACATAATTTATTATAACGCGATTAACGTGTTACAGCAGAACTGATTGTATACTCTTTGGTTCTTTCGGTAAAATCACGTAGGTATACAATAACATAAATCACGACGTTTCGGGCGCAACACAAGCGTCCGTCATCAGGTGGGAAAGCGATGGTCTGCTGCTGATGCAGACTGTTTAAAAAGGTTTGAAATGGGTGTTGCCCAAGGGTCATAAAGAAGTGGCCGGGGCTAGTGATGTTAATGTGTGAAATGAGCATGTAACTGTAAGACAGGAGGAGAGTGGCCTCTTCGACCAGGGCACGGAGGTGGCTATGTTAATGTGAGAGACCAGCACGACGCCAATGTGAGAAATTTCAGTTGATTTAATTTGTTTTGCTCCAAGTATGTTTTGTTATTGGTGACCCAGATCACTTTCGCAAATGTGACCCTTACCCCTGGTCCTCTGGAGTTCTCACCCAGTTATACAAATTAACCTTTACTTGACTCGCCCATTCACTCACTCAACCATGAATGTATGTACGTACCGTATGTTGAACTTATTTCGCACCGTACGTAGCCAATCGTGCTAATCGGATGTGCGATCATTCACCCAGCCACTCGTTCACTCACTCGCGCACTCACTTTTGGAAATGAGACTCATCCCTTGGTCCTTTTGACTTCTCATCTCCATTAACTAAATCATCCCAAAATCTATTCAACGAACTACCCACCCATTCATTCACCCATCCTTCGATTCATTCAATCATCTATCCAACGAGTCTTCCACCCACTCACCCACCAAACCACCCACCCCCCCCACTCATCCACCCACTCACCCACCCTTAAGAATGAGACTCACCCCAGTGGTCAGTCTCGCAACACCTCTCACCTTTCGGGTCAAACAAAATCATTAACCTTTGAAGAAACAAACATCTCACGTCGGCTTGCATGTGAAAAACCTCGTGGCCCCCTCCCCTCTCTCTCACCCCCCACCCCTCCTCTATCTCACCTCCTCTCTCACCCCCAACAACAACAACAACCGCCATTCGCCACTAAGTGGCGGTGACGTCACCACGACGCTTGTGCCAGGCCACGTGCACCTTGAGGCCACGTGAAGTGTCGAACGCCCGCTGGCAGGAGGTCACGGGGCAGACCCAAGTGCCACGGGTCGACTGACTGAGATGACTGAGATGACTGGCTGATGCACCACCTGTGCCCCCTACTGTGCCAACCTGCTGTGCTTTAGCCACCCGGCGCTCCGCTCGTTGTTGTGAGCGTCGCTCCTCCGCCCTCCGTTGTTGTTGGAGGGCGACTGCCTCCAACTGCCCAGAAGCGTCCTTAACGAGCCTCCTCCACAGAGGCCGATCTTGACACCGCTGGTACCAGTCATCGGCAAGTCCACTCAGCTCCACGTCCTCCTGTACTACATCACTCCATCTCTTCTCTAGCCCGTGCCGCGCCCGTCTAGCCCCCTCGATCCGGTCGAACAAAAGCTGTTTCGGCATGCGGTGGCTGGGCATGCGGGCTACATGACCCAGCCAAAGCAGCCTTGCCTGCCGGAGGAGCTCACCGATGGGACTTTGCCCAGATCTTTCAAGGATTTGTGAGCTCCTCACACAATCCAGCCTGGTTAACCCCAGGATGGATCGTAGGCAGGCCAGCCTAAATGTTTCCAACCGGCGAAGATGCTCCATTAAGGGGGTCCACGTTTCGCAAGCATAGAGAAGGGAGGGAATGACCGTGGCCGAGAAGACCTGAAGCTTAGTGCGGAGCGACAGACCAGGTAGCTTCCACACAGCGTTACGCAACCGATGAAAATATATTGCCGCTCGACTGATTCCGATGGTACAAAATACCCAGGCAGGTGCTTAGTTTTGGTGGGGCTGATGGTAAGGCCCCACCTCTTAGTGGCACGCTCCAGTCTCAGCAGCAGCGTCTCCAACTCCTCCTCTCTCACCCCCACCCCCTCTCTCACCCCCAGCCTCTCTCTCACCCCCTCCCCCCCTCTCTCACCCCCCTCTCACCCCCTTTCTCACCCCCACCCCCTCTCACCCCTCTCTCACCCCACCCCTCTCTCACCCCCACCCCCTCTCTCACCCCCACCCCTCTCTCACCCCCACCCCTCTCTCACCTCCCACCCCCTCTCTCACCCCCACCCCCTCTCTCACCCCCACGCCCTCTCTCACCCCCAGCCTCTCAACCCCCTCCCCCCCTCTCTCACCCCCTACCACCCACCCATCCTCTTCTATCTCACCCCCCTCTCTCACCCCTCTCACACCCCCTTTCTCACCCCCCACCCTCTCTCACCCCCTTTCTCACCCCACCCCCTCTCTCACCCCCACCCCCTCTCTCACCCCCACCCCCTCTCTCACCCCCCACCCCTCTCTCACCCCCACCCCCTCTTTCACCCCACCCCCTCTTTCACCCCCACCCCTCTCTAACCCCCACCCCCTCTCTCACCCCCCACCCCTCTCTCACCCCCACCCCTCTCTCACCTCCCACCCCCCTCTCTCACCCCCACCCCCTCTCTCACCCCCTACCCCCTCTCTCACCCCCACCCCTCTCTCACCCCCACCCCCTCTTTCACCCCCACCCCCTCTTTCACCCCCACCCCTCTCTCACCCCCACCCCTCTCTCACCCCCACCCCCTCTCTCACCTCCCACCCCCTTTCTCACCCCCACCCCTTCTCTCACCCCCACCCCCTTTCTCACCCCCACCCCTTCTCTCACCCCCACCCCTTTCTCACCCCCACCCCTCTCTCACCCCCACCCCCTCTCTCACCCCCACCCCTCTCTCACCGCCACCCCCTCTCTCACCTCCCACCCCCTTTCTCACCCCCACCCCTTCTCTCACCCCCACCCCTTTCTCACCCCCACCCCTCTCTCACCCCCCACCCCCTCTCTCACCCCCACCCCTCTCTCACCCCCACCCCTCTCTCACCCCACCCCCTCTCTCACCCCCTCTCTCACCCCCACCCCCTCTCTCACCCCACCCCCTCTCTCACCCCCTCTCTCACCCCCACCCCTCTCTCACCCCCACCCCCTCTCTCACCCCCTCTCTCACCCCCACCCCTCTCTCACCCCCACGTGTCCCCCGGCAGTGGTTCCGCCCTCGTCAGCCACACCCCTCCCCAGTGAGCCCCGCCTCCTGCTGCTGCCGCCCCAAGCCGCAGCTGCAGCAGAGGGGCAGTGAGGGCAGGCGGCCACGTGGATGGCGGGCGGTCAGCTCTAACGCGGAACTCAGGCACACGGTAACGACCTCTCTCTGTCTCTCTGTCTCCACCACTACGACCTCTTCTCTCTCCACTACGACAGCTCTCTACTACTAGGACAGCTCTCTCTACTACTAGGACAGCTCTCTACTACTAGGACAACTCTCTTCACTACGACAGCTCTCTACTACTAGGACAGCTCTCTACTACTAGGACAGCTCTCTCCACTACGACAGCTCTCTCTACTACTACGACAGCTCTCCACTATTAGGACAGCTCTCTACTACTAGGACAGCTCTCTACTACTACGACAGCTCTCTCCACTACGACAGCTCTCTCTACTACTACGACAGCTCTCTGTACTACTACAACAGCTCTCTCTACTACTAGGACAGCTCTCTGTACTACTACGACAGCTCTCTACTACTAGGACAGCTCTCTGTACTACTACGACAGCTATCTACTACTACGACAGCTCTCTCTACCACTACGACAGCTCTCTACTACTACTACGACAGCTCTCTACTACCAGGACAGCTCTCTACCACTACGACAGCTCTCTCTACTAGGACAGCTCTCTCTACTAGGACAGCTCTCTCTACTAGGACAGCTCTCTCTACTAGGACAGCTCTCTACCACTACGACAGCTCTCTCTACTACTACGACAGCTCTCTCTACTAGGACAGCTCTCTCTACTAGGACAGCTCTCTACCACTACGACAGCTCTCTCTCCACTACGACAGCTCTCTACTACTAGGACAGCTCTCTACTACTAGGACAGCTCTCTACTACTAGGACAGCTCTCTTTACCACTACGACAGCTCTGTACCACTACGACCTCTTCTCTCTCTACCACTACGACAGCTCTGTACTACTAGGACAGCTCTCTCTACCACCACTACGACAGCTCTCTCTACTACTACGACAGCTCTCTACTACTAGGACAGCTCTCTACCACTAGGACAGCTCTCTACCACTACGACAGCTCTCTCTACTACTAGGACAGCTCTCTACCACTACGACAGCTCTCTCTACTACTAGGACAGCTCTCTACTACTAGGACAGCTCTCTACCACTACGACAGCTCTCTCTACTACTAGGACAGCTCTCTACCACTAGGACAGCTCTCTACCACTACGACAGCTCTCTACTACTACGACAGCTCTCTACTACTAGGACAACTCTCTCTACTACTACGACAGCTCTCTACTACTAGGACAGCTCTCTACTACCACTACGACAGCTCTGTACTACTACTACCTCTTCTCTCTACCACTACGACAGCTTTGTCCACTCTCCACTCCGCGATTCCAGCCAGCGCAGCGAGTTTTACTTCGGGTGGCCACGGCGTTCAGAGACCACACAGTAGGGTACAGTGACAAGGCTGCTGTTGTTGTGGTTGTAGTGTGTGTGTGTTACTGTAACGCGTTTGTCATTGGCGATGTGGGCCGTGGTTTAAAGTTGAGAATGTTTAAAGTTTGTTTGGGGGGGGGGGAGGGGGGTGTTCTAAGTTATCAATGTCGTCGTCGATGATTTCAAACGTGACGGGCAACAACCTTAATCGATGCAACAGTTTGCCCAACTTTTGGCGACATCGATACAAAGACCCCAATTCACGGCCCGATATTATTAACAATTTGACGGTGGCGACTGGCGGCACACGCCTGCCTCGTGTCTACCCTTCGCTGTGGCCGTCCCCACGTGCGTTGACGATTGCCCCTCGTTGCGATCGAAACGTCGCGATCGGTTATTATTTCTTCCCTACGTGACTTGAACCGAAGGAGCCAAAGATTCCTGCAGTCACGAAAGCTTCCAAATCAATATTGTGTGTGTGTGTAGCGTGTGTAGTGTGCTGTCTGCATATCTGTAACTCTCTATGGCAAAGAAATGTTTGATGGACTTTATGTCTCGCAGGGTCGCTAATTGTAGATCCCGTTTCGATCGTAAAACAGCAAAAGATTTGTTTGCTGAAAATATATTTTTTGTATTATCTAACGATGTATCCAGCTCTTGCGACGAGGTGTGTGTGAAGGTGATGCGTTTTAAAGTCGTTTTGATTGGCAATTTGGGGGGGGAGGGAGGTGAGAGAGAGGGCTTCTTGGCCATGTAGCAAGTGGAGAGGGGTGGGGAATTTTTTGTTGGCTTTTAGGGAAGTGAAGAGATGGTGGTGGTGGTGGTGACATTCGCCAACCTACAACTCAGGCTGCTTGAGTTGTACAAAATATTGTTGCTTTAATATGCTGTCGAGGCACGGGTAGCAGTGCGTCTTGTAATCCGGTTGATCGGTGATTATTGGTTGACTTGCCAAGATACATTTCCGATTGTTGTCGGTGTCATAAGATAAATAGCGATCGTCTTGATCTCTTGAGGTGTGTGCATGTGTTCCAGCGAATTTCACCTTCTAGCAATCGGGTGTAGGTTGGAAGTGGATGTATTTCAAATGAATTATCAATAATAACGTTTAAACTCATACAGGTCTTCTTTATTTACTGGGTGTAAAGCCCATGCCGAGTCTCATAAGACTCGTTTCACCGCTCCTGCTGCTGCTTTGGAATGCTGTTTCACTTCAATTTTTTGTTGAGAACTTGGAATATTAGGGGGAAAGTTTGGGGATATCTTGGGAACACCGACTCTAAAGCAGACCGCAGGAGCTCACACTCAAAAGTATTGCACGGATTGATTCAGTAATCCAAATTTCCCATGCCTGGGTATCCCCCAGGCTATCTCCCACTCAAGCACACGCCAGGCCCAACACCGGCTGAGCTTGCAAAAATGTGACAGAATTCATGTAGTCATTGGTAACCGAGTGGATAGAGAGGGGGGCACGGGCTCAAGGTGACCATCGGGGAGGAGGAGGAGTGCCATACAAGCCACTGGATTTATAGCTTCAAATCAAGATTTATAGGAGGCTTGAGTTTTTTTTTAAATCAGTGGATTCTTGATCTGGGGGTGCGAGAGATGCCCCTTTCTGGCGACACGTGGCCAGACTTTTTTTTAGAAGGTAAATAATCGAAAACACAAATTAAGCACGGGCATGGAAGTACAACTAGTTCTAGATTTGAAGCTTTCGTGACTGCAAGGATCCATGCTCTTTGGTTCTTTTCGGTAAAGTCACGTAGGTAAAAAATAAAACAACAAAAATCACGACGTTTCGGCCACAACACAAGCGGCCTTCATCAGGTGAAGGGACCAGCCTGTCTCGAGGACAGCGCTGGTCCCTTCGAGACAGCCTGGTATATATTTATTCGTATTAAACATTGTTTCATCAAACTGATATATGTATTAGTATTATACATTGTTTAATCAAACTGGTAAATATTTATTAGTATTAAACATTGTTTCATCAAACTGATATATATGTATTAGTATTATACATTGTTTAATCAAACTGGTATATATTTATTAGTATTAAACATTGTTTCATCAAACTGGTATATATTTATTAGTAGTATACATTGTTTAATCAAACTGGTATATATTTATTAGTAGTATACATTGTTTAATCAAACTGGTATATATTTATTAGTATGAAACATTGTTTCATCAAACTGGTATATATTTATTAGTATGAAACATTGTTTCATCAAACTGGTATATATTTATTAGTAGTATACTTGTTTAATCAAACTCGTATATATGTATTAGTAGTATACATTGTTTAATCAAACTGGTATATATGTGTTAGTAGTATACATTGTTTAATCAAACTGGTATATATTTATTAGTATGAAACGTTGTTTCATCAAAATGGTATATATTTATTAGTAGTATACATTGTTTTATCGATTGAGAACCACAGGGTGTGCAGGCTGCAGTAAATATTAAGAACCACTGATTTAAATGTATAGTTAAATTGTTAAAATTCTACCGTTAATATTGTCAGTGAAATTAGTCGCCGAGTAGCAATGCTGGTTGGCAAAAAGCGCTTGAAACACCGTTTACGTTTGTGATATGTCATTGGTGAAAGGGCAGAACGTTTTGAGTGTTTATTTTATACCTGAAGAGTATATAAATTAGCATCGTACTTTCGTGCCAATGCTAATCTCTCTCTGCTAGTTTCATGTCGTACTGCAGTGCACGCGCTTGCGACATTGTGCACGGTTATTTAGCAATGTTTTATTCTCTCGATTAAGATTGTTGATATATGTGCGTGCTGCACTTGTAAATGAACTGTTGCTATTAACAGTACAGTAAATGAGCCATTCTTAAGCGTAACCTAATTTCTGCACAATGGCAGGTCCATGCCTTTTTAAGCTCCATTCATCATCACACGTAATTACCATCCCTCCTCTTCACCTCTCAACTCCAGAACTCTCTCATAGGGTCCTTGAGCCATTACGAGGGCAGAACGTTGAAGTGGCTTCTTCTTGCCTTTCGGTTCTGGTGTTTTTATGACACCGTCACCCAGATGCAGTTCCACTTTACGCACAACACCCATGACAAAGCTGCATTATCTGATTACCATCTTATCGGACATGCTGCCCTTCGTCTGTACGACTGTACTTTAGTTCCTTTACATGGTCGCCTTATAGCCCAGAGGGGAATTGTGTAACGTACTGTTGTCGATAGTGGAGTAAGTTAGGGGACGGCACGGTGGTGAGATGTCAACTACCTTGCCTGGTGTACAGGAAGCCATGGGTTCGATCCCAACCTTAACCCCTGTATATTTGGAGTTTGTGTGTTCTCCCCGTGGACACGTGGATTTTTCTCCGAGTCTCCTGATTTTTCCCTCCACATTTAGAAAAAAGCGTTTTTGGCTGCTTTAAATTTCCACGTGATGAGCCACTTGGCTGAGCTTTCATTTGTGGCCAAGTCGCCTCTGAAAAAGAGCTATGTAACTTAGTGGGTCTTATTTGGTAAAATAAAAAAATAGTGAACAAAACTATAGTTGAGTGATTGTGTTGGTTACCACGATCCAGAATCAACAACTTGTGTCCAGTAGCAGAATGACATAATGCATAGCAGCTCAGTAAATGTGACGTTTGTTTCTAAGTGTAGGCATCCTATACTGTAGTAAGAATAACCCACTTCCAATGTATCATCATCCTCTGCCGTCCAGGCACGTTTTGACAAGCCACAGCACTTCGGCATTTGTGAAGAAAAATGTAGCGCGTCCAATGTGTTTTGTTGACCATGGACGATTTGCGTTACGAGACTTGGATACTGAGAACTCTTTAATCCACGTCGTGTGTTTATGGGTTATATGTACACAACGTGGTGAAGTATGGTCCAGTGACCACAACGACCTGCACGACATGGGGAGGACTTCATTTAGCAGTGGGTTGACAAGAGGGCTGTGCGTTTGTCTGCAGAGTTCATTGAAGAGGGAGGTTTTGTTTGCGAAGGCGACTTGGGATGGCACTTTTAGGGTGCAAATTCAGTAGCGAATAAACGAAACAATCTCTAAACAAATAATTTTGACCCTAAGTCACCGAGTAAAAGTGCTGCAGTTAAGTAAAAAAAACGTAATAAAATGCGCACCATTGCATTTTAAGAGCCATAAAATGCAATAATATATTTTTTGACAATTTCCGGTTAGGCGTTAGAGCAGTGTTCTTCACTAATGTTAAGAGGGGGGCCACTTTTGCTGATAAGACATCGGTGTGAGGGCCACTACACATTTAAAACCATTGGAGTTTGACAGCAGCAGCAGGATGATGATGATGGGATGTGATTTATCGGGGACCGCACTTAGGGCCCCCTGGGGCCGCCAGTTGACCCGCGGGCCTCGCAACGAAGAACACTGCATCACAGTTTACCGCACGCTTGAGATTGTGAAAAAAATATTCCTACGGCCGTTAATATCCTGGTCTGTGAAATTGAATTTGACGGAGATGGTTGTGGTCAGGCATGTAACGATTTCCTTCTCTCTGCATTTGATTAAATCTTATTTTTTGGGAGTGGGGGGGGGGTAATAATTCAATTTTTAAAATAATTAAAAAAATACGTACGGTGTTGAATCTGGCTGAAGCCCGGGTTACATGAACCAACGGCACTTAAACTAAACAAAAAAAACGATCTATTTTTTTACCAGATAAGGCCCATTGAGCTATGTAGCTCATTTTCAGAAGCGACCTGTCCACAAACGATACCTCAACGAAGTGGCTTATGTGGAAATGTGTAGCAGCTAAACACCCTAAATGCATGTTGATTCTAAATGTGTAAGGAAAAAACCGGAGGACCTGGAGAAAAATCCACGTGACCACGGGAAGAGAGAGACCTGCGAACTGCAAATATACAGGCATCAGGGTGGGGATCGAACCCATGTGAGCTCATGCCCATTGTTGACGCCCTGCAACTCACTCGTTGTAGTTTAACTGCCGCTGCAGCACCACCACCAGCGATGTCGATCGCGGCGGCCGCCGCAGAGTACATCTTCTCGGACTCGCTGCTCAAGGACTCGGCAGACGCCAGGTTCAAGGGCCTGCGTCTCGAGCTGCCGGCCGACCGCCTCCTCAAGTTCATCACGGTCGGCCTGCCGCTCATGCTCATCTCGCTCGCCTTCGCACAGGAGATCTCCATCGGTAAGGCTTTCGTTGTCGCCACGACGGCGCTCTCACCGTCCCTACCGTCGGTGGTGTTGTAGAGATGTAAATGGGTGCATCGCAGTTCGTCGATGGCTTTGCCGCTAGTGGTGGGGTAAAGTGTGGGTGTTGCCACCTCTTCAGAGACCTCTGGCCAGCGGATGGAAGAGTAGACCAAATACCCTGTATGGTGGACTCTTGTAGAGCTGCTTCGAGTGGAGGCATTTCTGGCAGCAGTGGGGATGAGTAAGAAACTGCTGGGCAGCACCTTTACCTTTGTCCTACTATTCGTGTTGAAACTCAGGCATTTTTGTAACACGCCTGTGTCACTGTGTAAAACATTGGTCAGGCCCTGCAATGCTTCCCTTTGATAAATTGGCATGCCTCCCTTGCCATCAGTTTGCCTTAAATTATTAATGACATAACTCTGCTCGTTTGCTTCGGTATAAATTATTGAAAGGCAGCAGCAGCTGCTGCTGCAATATGATGATGTCCGTGGGTTGTGCCGGATATATTCAGTGGCACTTGGGACGCGTGCCAAGGAGCGTGTTGCTTCGAAGGGACCCCAGTCCGCTCCTGTTTGCCGATGGAAAACACCATTTCTGCACAGCGCATGACCTTTAGCCAGAAATGCAGCCGATCTCGGAAGCTAAGCAGGCTTGAGCCTGCATAATTGCTTGGATGGGTGACCAACATGCGCACCGATCCGATTAGCACGGTTGGCTACGTAGGGTGCGAAAGAAGTTCGGCGTACATACGTAGTCAGGTGTAAATACATTGCGGTGCTGGAAAATCAATTTTTTGTTCTGTAGTACTCCACTCCACCTTCACCAAGCCGCACTATCCAGCATAGGGAGGTATGGTCAAATGCTCCTCACAAGACATGGGGAGGCCGTCTTCCACCGGTGGCGAATCCCGAAACTAGCCTATAAATACGCAAGATGGTAATGAGTCCTGAACGGCATTCACTCGCAGACGGCTATGGTTACAAACAAAAAAACTACAACGTGTCTATGCACGCAACGGGGCTGTTATTGTCTCCCGTCATCTTTGGAATTAATACTGCGAATACCGCGCTTGTTGACGCACAGTTAAACGCAGCACTGGAATTATAAATCAGTGAAGTGGTCAACCTCCTCTTTGCCGTGGTAATCTGTGTTATTGGTGGATCCTTATTCTTGGTTCTTTCGGTAAAGTCACGTAGAAGGTAAATAATGAAAATGAAACAATAAAATTCTCACGACGTTTCGATTGCAGCACGAGCAATCATCATCAGGTGTGAAAACCACGGCAAGAAAATTGAAAATAAAAAAGTGGCGTTTTTTTTCAAAATGTTCTTGCTGTGGTTTTCACACCCACCTGATGATGATTTGCTGGTGCTGAAATCAAAACGTCGCGAGAATTTTATTGTAAATTTTTTTATTTTATTATTTCCCTTCTACGTGACTTTACCGAAAGAACCTAGAATATGGTGGATCCTATTTGCAGAAATTTACACCGTTTACTTGAAGGGGTTAACACGGACAATAGGATGCATTTTCCGCCACGTCCGGATTTCCCCTTAACTCAAATGTCACTGTTATTTAAGTCCTTAATTTTACCAGGTAAGGCCCACTCAGCCTGTGTATTTTTTTTCAGAAGCGACCCGTCCGCAAGTGATCACTCAACAAAGTGGCTTTAGCACGTGGACATTTATAACAGGCAAATACTCTAAAGCGCACGTCGATTCTAAATGTGGAGGGAAAGAAACAGATGACTCGGAGAAAAATCCACGCGACCACGGGGAAAGAGACATGCAAACTCCAAATATACAGCAGGCGTCGGGGTCGGGATCGAACCCCCCATGATCTCCTGCATGCCAGGCGTGGTGGTTAACATCTCCCCACCATGGTTACCCCTCTTATTTTTGCAAAGCGCTTGGATGACAGTGAACAATTTATTACTTCCAAAGATCGCTTTACTTGTGACTAATCCAACACAGAAATGTGGAAAAGTGACGTAACAACTTAATTTGATTGGCTATGTCGGGGTGGCGAAGAGTTATAGATTGATATATATATCTGCATGAAATAAACGAATTCGGAATCATAATTTTGGTCACGAAAGCCTTTGAATAAAATTATCCTCGTACATATTAGGTACTTTCGCTGTTGTTTAAGAGTGGAGTTTGTCAGGTGTAACCGAACGAGCCTTTTCACACCGGTCAGACAGGTTCACAGACATGGGGAGGATTTAATAAAAAATTGAACTCTCGAGTCCCGGTGGCACGCAGGCATTTGCAGTCTCACAGCACCGAGGCTTTCCGTGTTTACTTTGTTGTCTTTCCCCCCCCCCACACACCTCCGATGGGCATGGTTGGCTACGTTACGGTGCGAAAGAAGTTCAACAGACATAGACTCGCACAGAGACCCCCGTAGGTTCACAGAGAGACCCGTCATTTTACACGGCGAGAATTTACGCAAGGCCTCGCAGTGCTTCGCATAAAATGACCCAACCCTAAACAAACGGTTAACGAAAACAAATTAAACAAAACCCGTTTACAAATAGAACCATCAGAGGAATGCAAATAATGTCAAAGGCGCACAATCTACACAGCCAGCATACGCAAGTGAAAAGCAATTGGTTTAAAGACTGGATTCTTAAGTGCGATCTGGGCGATGGACCCACCATTGATCAGCAGACTCTTTTTCCTTCCAATATATATATCCGAAAGCCACTGGAGCTATGCACTTGTAAATCATCTAGATTGAAAACGAATTTCCTTGGAATTAAATTTTTGCGTTCGGTTTGTTTTCGCACGATTGGCTACGTACGGTGCAAAAGAAGTTCAGCATGCATACAGGGTTAAGCTTGGATCGTGCTTGGATGGGATGGCCACTATGCACAAAAGAAAGGTGGAATCGTAGGCATTGTGAGCAGTGGCAGGGCAAGTTCTGCATTCCTCCGTCCATCGTCACCAGGCCGCATTTGGTGAGGTGTGGTTACATTTCCATTGCAGTCTGCACGGCGTGGGAGGGGAAGGGTAGGGGGGGGGGAGGCTCTCATCCAGCAGTGGATGAGGACAAATCGGGGCTGGCTCGTCCGCAAAAAAAAAAAATACGCGGCCGATAACGGACGAGCAAACGGATTGAAATAGAATCGTTCAAAAAAAACAAACGTGGCCTAATACAGCCCCGGCCGTGCGGCGATCGTTGTCCATGTACGGTTACCACCGTGTTTGTGATGTACGGTGAATCCCCCTCGGGGGGCTGCTAATTTCGAAAGAGGCCCCACTACAAATAGTGTCGGTTGCTATCCAATTTATGCAGACTGCCTTGACATTCAATACGGTGTCAGATTTAATAAGTTCACAAACATTGCATCTCTCTCCGAGGTCGAAAAAGCCGTTCCTTCCCAGTCACCGTGTTAAACGGAAAATTGGACTCGATGTGCGGTCATTTTGAGTGTGATTGCTCTTGAACCGTACCATATAACACAGCCATAATGCATCCGACAGAAAATCGAATTGTATTTTTTTAAATTGAATGCTGCATTAGGTGATTGTTTGCGGGAAGCATTGGGCTCAGTTGTTAAAACGCACCGAGCTATGAATTCAGAAACCTGAATTCAGAAACCTGAATTCATAGCCGCGGCCGATATCGGTGGCCAGTGATTGTCAAGAACAATGTGGCCTTAAAATAAAAAATATATATGTAACAGGGAACACGTCAGACAATAGCCCTTGTTCATCAATAGAGACCGACGCGATCGTGGAAAATGAGATTTGGCGTATTTTTCACCATGGGGCCTGATGAGGTTTTCTCTTTTCTGATGAACAGTTTCACCATCTGTGATCGGTTTCCTCTTTTCTACTTTGAATGATTTCAAGTATGTACTTTGAACTTCTTGCGTACCCTACGTAGCTAACCGTGCTAATTGGAGGTGCGCGGGAGGGAAAGTAAATTATGGTAATAAAAACAATTAAATGTAGAAATACAAATTACTCAAGTTTGGGATTCTACGCAAGCAAATTGTCGTCTCCATACTGCGGCCAAAAACTTGACAGGAACCCTACCCGAATGCCCCGAGTTTCCAGCTCTAAGAACACAACTGTTCACTTTGTCACGTAACAAGCATATTGTTCTCGGTGGCGGGGCGGGGTGCCGGGACGTTACGAGCGGTTCTGAGGTCGCCCTCGCTCAGAGGCGCAGAGAGGGGTAAGGGAGAGGTATCATTCTTCACGCTCTGGGCTCTCCGGCCCTTCTTGAAGGACCCAAGTGCTCACATCGGTTAGCCGGGCAGCTTTGATCGCGTCTGCTCCGTATGGGTCTGGTTCCAGTTTGCTTGAGACATTTAATGGATTCAAAGGTCCAAATTTCAACTGTAAAGAAAACCAGTTTCACCGAGTGATGAGCAACAGCCTGAATTCGTTTGTATCGACACAAATGTTTGGTCTACATGGCCAACTCGTTGTTGACTGTAAATCTCTTCAGCGGGACAGCTGCTTTGTATTCACAGTGACTCTTGGTTGAGAAGTGGAATACCATTGGTGTTTTTCAGTATTGGCTCGTGGTGCAAACTGCTCTGCGCAACTGTTGCTGCACATATTAAACGTCCGTTAAAAGGTGCATTTCTCCGTTGTAACTTAGTGACGGCGATTTTAAAATGTCCTTGCACCTTTCACAATGTGCATTCCGTTGTCCGACGTTTCGCTCCACGTGCTGAAGGAAGCTCCCCCGGCAAGTAGCTGAAGTGGTCCCGGAATCGTGCGGAAGTAGTCCCGCACCAAATACTGTCTCGGCTCAATCTCAGATTCAAATAAAAAAAAAATCTTATACGGTGGTACCCCGGAGATCGAACTTAATTCGTTCCAGTAGGCCATTCGAACACCGATTTGTTCCCCCATAATGAATATAAATGACATTAATTGGTTCCAGACACAAGAAATCTCTCATTATAAAGTATTTTTACACGAAGTTCCCAGTAATTACATGCATAAAATCATACAAAAAAACAAGACA